CAAACTATTGATATATATATATAAGCAAGATAATTTCCTTTATCAAATCAAATCACACGTAACTTGCTTGTTACTAAGAATATGATATTGTTAATCAAAGCCAAATATTGGAAATTCTAAATATGGGACGATTACACATAGTATCGTTTGCTAGAATTATTATTTTTCTTTTCTCGTTTGAATACTTTACATATTTATTATTGTGTGAATACTTTACATATTTATAAAAAAAAGAATGTTGAAATTAGCATTGTCATATATATTTATCATCCGAAGATTGTCATGGCATATCTTATTTATTTAAAAAAATTTCCAGGCGAGAAAAAGAAATTATTTTTTTAGCAAACGATTCGTTTTTTTTTCTTTGTCAAATAGTTTTTTTATCTTTTTTTTCCTTCTTTTTTTCGCAAATACTTTAGTTATTCCTTAAAAATAACCTTTAAAGTGCAGCGGTTCCACTCTCTTTTTCAGACAAATATATATGTACATATGTTTAAAAAATTATATGTATCCAAAATAAGAATAAACATATCAGTCGTATAAATATGTTTCTCACTTTGTAATTACTTGAGAATCTGAAACAGATTATTAATTTTAAATTTTTAGAAGAAAAGGCGACCAGTCAAAAAATCGTTTGCTATTACAGAGCAGAAAGAAACACCACAAGACGTCTTCAACCAGAAGATATAGATCCGAATTTATGCACTCATTTGATAGTCGGTTTTGCAGAGGTTCGATATGATTTCGCGCTACCAAAAACCATTCAAGATCTCGAATGCTTCAACCGAACAGTTACTTTGAAAAAGAAAAATGCAAAAATGAAAGTTATGCTTTCTATAGGAGGAAAATCAAATGGCGGTTTCTCTCGAATGGTAGCTACGAAATATGGAAGAGAAAAGTAAGTGAGTTATTTATATTAGTATGATGCTTTAAGAATATTTTAAGGATGGATGAGAAAAAAAAGACGAATCGTACAAATTGGTGCAAGTTGGAAAAAAAGTGGATTTTAGTTTAAAATAAGAAAAATTTCTTTTAATTATCAAAATCATTTCAACAGGCGTTAGTCGAGGTGTTACATAAAAAGAGAAATATATAAACTAAAAAATACTAAGATAAAATATTATGCTTGTTGTCCATATATCATATTGATAAAACTGTAAATATTAAAATGGTTTCCAGATCTTAAAATTATAGAAAAGATGAGAAAGATATTATATTTTCAAAATCACAATATTTAGTCAGTTCCAGGTATAATAAAATAGTTTTTCATTCTAATGTACACATAATAGTTATTTTTATTAAAATTTATACTATAAGTTATATATAACTAATATAGAATGGTATATAAAAATATTATTTATTTACAGAGTATGAAATAAATTTAATTTGGAAAATAGAAAATCTGCAACCGATGGGAGATGGACCCAAATAGCGCATATAATTTAGACGTTATAAACACTTCGTTAAGACGAGTAAATAATTCATGATTTGGCTATTAATAGCTAAAAAATATTACTAAAGGTTCTCTTTCTTTAGCTTTAGTCTTTCAAAATCAGAGTTGGCTTTTTGCCGGCAAAAACTGGTTATAACCGGTAAAAACTGGCAGAAACTAAAACGACGTCTATATTAGTTCTAGTAATTGTTTAATGATATTTTGTTTAAGTTAACTGAAAAATGCATTAAGTAAAGAAAATCTTATGGCTGTTTATAAAAAGGAAGTGACATACAGATTTAAACAGGCAGTTACTGATTATCATTTGCTAGCTTATATGCTGCATCCAAAGTATTTGGGATTGAAATTATCATGTGTCCAAGAAGAAAGTGCCAGAATTTTACTCGCCAATATTAACCCAGATTTTGTACCTTATGTCATAGCTTTGCAAAACAAATCGGCCCCATTTCCTGAAATTCATTTTTCCAGTCAAGTTTTGACATCTACCTCATCTGCTACATTGTGGTTCAGTTTTAAAAAATATTCAATCGATGAAAGTTTCACAAATCTTGCTTGTTCCTTGATGGCAATGCCTGCTAGTTCCAGGGCTAAAGAGAATAGCTAGTTCTGCTGGACTTGAGAGAATCTTCTCAAATTTCTCGTTCGTGAATAGCAAATTGAGAAATTGTTTAGGTTTAGAAACTGCATCAATACTTGTCTTTTGTTATAGATCACTGTAGAGTGCAAACAATGTAATATTTGATTTTGAATGGTGATAATTTTGTAAATAAATTGTACTTTGTTTAACATTAAATTTTTTTTTCTATGAATTATTCATTGTATGTCAATCTCAGTACTTACTTTTATTTCATTATCTGAATTTCTGCCAGTTTCTGTCACAAATGTGGCAGAAAAGGGTTTCTGCCATGCCATTTTTAATCGGTTTCTACCAGTGGTTTTAACCACCTCGGCAGAAACTTGCCAACCTTGTTCAAAATATGTTAGCGAACAACTATTTTACAAAGCCAAAACATTGCAGCAAATATTTTATCCATAAATTTCAATGGTTGAATTTTAAAAGCAATAGTAGAAATAATATCTATTTATAGATGAACATCCGCTCACAAGTGTTTATTTTGAGAAAAAAGTAAATAATTATACTTATTGAGAAGAGAATTAAATGAAATATTAGTTTAATTCTTAAATTGAAGGAAATGTGTTATGCTTATTTTGGTAGAATAAAATGATTTAGAGATTTAGCATATTTCACTTAATGATATTGACTTTGTAATCGAATCTGGTAGAACAGAACAGTATTCTTTTGAAGTTATTTCTTCAATTCTGTTATTTCTAACGAAATTCTGTTGAGATTAATTGTTCTATTGATATTGTTGTTCTACCGTAATCTGATAGAACAATAATCTCAAAAAGAAACGCAATTTTTGAAGTTCATACAATAAATGTCGTATTAATGTGCACATATATTAGGGATTTTTAACAAAATTAACAATTTAATAATATTTGTAATTAATAATAATTCTATTAAACATGAATATTTATTAAGCGTTAGGCAGTTTTATGATTAATTTACAAAATGAGAGGTGTAATATACGCGAATATACTCGGGCCGCATGCGACCCGAGTATATTCGCGAAGTTTCAAAGTTTTCAAATTTTTTTTTCTAATTTTTAAAAAAAATATTTGTTGATAAATGGTACTTCAAATTGTTTGAAACTTTCATAACACCAGATTGGGGTACTTCAAATATAAACAAATATCAAGGTGTGCATATGAATTAACAAGACTCTTTTTTTAATTTGATACACAACTTTAATTGGTAGTTTCATGCCTTTTCTTCTAGGTTTATATTTTCTCTTTTGCATTTCCTGGACAAATACAAATTTGATGGAGTTGACTTTGACTGGGAATTTCCTGGGTGGAATGGTGCTAGTCCTTTAGAAAGATTTTTTTTCAACATACTTCTAAAGGTAAAAATATAAAAATTTCAGAAATTAGAAAGGAAATTATTTGAAACCATTTTTTATTATGTCAAATTGCAGACAAATTTTAAATTCATAATTAATATAAGAAATGCGTGAATAACTAATTATCATCAAACTCTTAACTGTCTTATCGTCCATCATCACGGCAAACCTAAACTTTAAGTACTGTATAGGTATAGTACGATATGTAATGTTCCGCCAGTTCTCAATAATATTATTCAAAATATTATTGTTTCTTTAAAAAAAAAAAAACGGAACAAAACAAAAACAGATTCTGGTAATAAAAATAATACTAATTAGAAACATGAAAACTATTTTAATTTATGTAGTATATATTGCAAATTAATCATTATAATATAGATTTTTAAAAAAATACGCTCTGCACAGGTGAAATTAAGAAGAAAAACCAACTGAACTCCCTTACTAACACTGTATGTGTGCCAGTTCCTGATATTTTTCTTGTAATCCTTCTTCATGCCCACACATCTATTTTTTTTTTCTTCTCTTATTCATTTAAAATATTTTTATATTTAAAAACTTCGAAAAATTTCATTTCTCACTCATATATATTCGATAGTTACTTTTACTAATTGAAGCATTTAAACCTTTTATATTCCTCCAATGTCTAATGGCAGACGATAAACAATTAATGATTTCCATAATTATTGCTTAGAATGACTGAGTATATGTATGTTGTAAGAAAAATTTCTTTCTTGCTGTTTAAAACTTTATTGCAAGCTTTTTTTTAAATCACAGTTTTAAAAATTTTTTAAAATTATATTAAATCGTATTACATTTTTATTGTTTTAATAATGGATGGACGGTTATGCTACGGATAGTAATTATAGCTTAGATTCACAAGCTACTTGTATATTCTTTGTTTTTGTTTAGTTGGAAAGCTTATAAAAAGTGCACCATCTAGAGAAGTGGAATAAATGTAAGCAATGAATATTAACTTTATGTTTTGTTAAAATGTTATTTTCGAATTAAATATGTTCAAGATGAATTATTTTTAGTTTTAAAAAATCACCAAATTTAGCGATAAAAAGCGTTACTTGGCAAAATTAGAAAAAATAGGAAACTTCTTGTATATAAAAAATAATGTATGTGAGTGCGTACGTTCTCTATACATATCGAGATTTCTGAACCAAATTTGACAGACATACGTTTAAAGACAAGAACAATGTCAACCTTAAAATTCCCTCCAACAACCCTTTAGAGCGAGCTACGACACTAAGGAAGAGTATTCCATAGGATTAACATGAGAGTCATTATTGAACTGCAGGAGATTTTATTTTTTATTATTTACAATTATTTAAACAGTAACAATCTTGCTTGTAGCTTTATTTATTCAAAAATTAGTTACACACACAGATTTTATTGAGAGTTTTTGAAAATTATTTGTCTTTAGTTTCTTACGTTAGGTGTGATCAAGTGGGGGTGATTTCACCTAATTGATACTTCGGAATCTGCCGAAAATCACGTGCTTGTTTATATACACTTTTTTATAAAACCTAAAGATTTTACCACAACCACGGTTGTATTCAAATCTTAATAATTTTCGGTGTCGAATAGTACTGTGTAAACCAACACTTCCTAGAAAAGAGGTCTTTGCACGGATTACCATAGACGGGATATCCGATTCTTTAGTTGTGCAAGCGTTGTGACATCTTTCTTAATTCCCCCACTACGAAGTTTTGTTGTCCCAAGGTTGTGACATCTTTCTTTTTTATCTCCCACTACGCAGTTTAAGTTCGTTCATTCAGACTACTTAAGTGATCCGTGCGAAGGTCTTCCTTGCCACCTTTCTTTTGGCGTTTAATAAATTTAATAATATGTTTTAATAAAGAAAAGTCGACGAAAAGGGCAAAAAAAAAAAAAAAAAAAAAAAAATGGAAGGAGAAAAGAAATTAAGTATAGCCGATTCTACGGGTATTGAGGTGGAAGCAAATTTGCACCATATTGCAGTTCAACACGCCCCAAGACTTGTAACCAAGCAATGATGTACAGTGCGCAAAATATGAAACGGACCACCCGGAATAACTTTTGATTTAATGATCAGATCTTCATGTTATGGGACTCACGCATAATAGTTCAAGGGGGTGATCTCAAGTATGCTAATTAATTAATGTAGACGATATTTTAAGTTACGACATCAGAAACAAAACATATGTTTTTTCTGTTGATAGATTCGTATTTCTGAACCTGAAAAAATAGAGGGTAGCCGTAATCCGGGAAATAAGGGACCAATTGTCAAGAGAGCGGCCCAAAATTTGGACCCTATAACTTTACTTTCTACGTATTTCTCAATTTTTCGACAACTTTTTTAGCAAATTAAAAAAAAATTTGCCCATAATCATAAAACTCGCTAATCCAAAGATAATTCTATGCAAAATATAACTTTTAGTAAATATTTATTATTATATTTAATAGTCAAATAAATTTTGAATTGCAAGGTATACAAATTTTTTGTAGATCATTTTAAAAAATGCAATTTTAAATGGCAAAATATAAAATTTCAGCGAAATCGATGTAATTATTTCCTAAGAAATCGAATTTTGAAAAAGTTGTATTTTTACAATTCCTAATTTGTGGACTATTATGTAATAAAATAATAAATATTAACTAAAAGTTGTATTTTGCATTTGAAATTATCTTTGAATAAACAAATTTTTTAATTGAATGCAAAAAAATTTCAATTCGCCTATAAAATTTCTTCGAGATATGGGGAAATACGCAAATTGTATAATTAACATTAAGGGATCCAAATTTTGGACAGCTCCTGGTCAAACTATTGATCCCTTGTTTTGAGGGTCAGAAATCCGAATTCGTTGGGAAAAAAATTACATGTTTATTCAGAGAAAGTACGTTTTTATGTCTGATTTCATAAGTTAAAATATCGTCTGCACTATTACTAAATTAGCATATTTGAGATCACCTTTCGAACCAGTAAGAATGAGTTCTACAACGGGAAGATCCGATCATTATATCAAAAGTTATTTAGGGTTGTCCGTTTATTTATTTATTCTCTATCATTTGTTCAATGTATTATTTACACATACTATATATGGAATATTGCATCTTTTTTATAAATTTCAGGAGCTACAATTTGTTATAGAAAAAGCGAAGAGAAATTTTCTAATCAGTTGCGCAGTAGCAGCACATGTAGCCATTATTGACACCTCATACAATGTACCAGAAATGGCAAAGTAAATATCTCCGTAAATAATTATAGAGTGAATTTTATACTAACTTTTTGTTTATTTCACACATTTTTTTACATTGTTGAAAAAAATGTAAATAAGTCATTTATATTCTAACATATACAATAAAAGAAATTACTTAAACCACCATCACCATGATTAAAATACACTATGTTCTTACTATAAAGTTTATTTTAGGGCAATACTGAAAAAAAAATGTATGTATTCATTTATGCAAATTAAATCAATTTTTGCTTTTTATGTGATTAGATAAATATATTGGAATAAGGTTTTCGTTCATTGCTTATTAGCTTAAAATAAAAATTAAATATTTCTTTTTAATTCCTTATAAGATTCAAACCTCGTATTTTAAAAATTGTCAACTATTATTATAAGGTATAATTATTTTAAAAAAACAATGTATTTTTTAAAAAGTCTTTTTCTGAAATTAACATGCTTTAAAACTCTGAGCATATTTTATGTAGGCAGTTATTTTATTATAAGCACCATACATATTGTTAAAAGTCATACATCAAAGATTCCCATAATGGAGAGGTTCCGCACCCACCACGTTATTAGTAACCTTATCTTTTCAATCTAATAGATCACGGTAATGAAAGCATTAAGTATTATAGTTACTGTCAGATTGGAGATTGCGCAATTGTGCGAGTTAATTGGACGGAAAGACCATATTTTTAAAAGATATTGAATTCAAACTTATTCACGTATTCACTATTAGATTCAATAAACGGCATTTCAACAAGCGAAGTTACGTATTTATATCTGCTACTCTATAATTTTGAACTCAAATCAGAAAACACTGATTTTTTTAAATCTATATTAGTATTTAATAACAAAATTAATTAATTTCCAAAATTCCATTATAACACGGTTACGTAATAGCATTTATACTTATTAGCTACTTCATGAGAAAACAAACAAGAGTAGTTTCTGTAAGTCCGGTTTTTACATTCATTCATTTAATGAACAATATAATTTCAGAAGTTAGAAACTATTGTTTTTTACATGCATTAATTAAATATTTATTGTTTTTCAGAGTTGTGGATTTTATAAATCTCATGTCTTACGATTTCCAGTTGTATAATCCAGCATATCCTATGACAGCTCATCATAGTCCTCTGTTTTCTAAAAACAGCGAAAAAAATACGAACTATTATTTAAATGCGGTAAGCATAAAATTTTTAAAAACCAATTGCTACTTTTAAATCGAATATCTTTTCAACTCCATCTGTATATGTATTGTATAAGCAACCGCACTTCGGAAAAGTAATTCAGGTAACGGGCATTTCACTTGGATTTTGTTTATTGATTGTATCGACCATAATTCACATATTTAATTAAAAGAGTTTAAGTAACAGTTCCACAATTAAATAAAAAATGACACTTTAAATAAGGTTTTAAATATGCATTTAGTTATCATAAAGAAACATTCATGTTTATTAATACTTCTGTTTTTCAATGCTTCCAAGTATGTTTTGTCTAAAATGTGTTTTCCTGATTTCCATCATAGGCATGGGCTGCAGGATTTTGGGAAGCTAGAGGCATGCCGCGAAAGAAAATAATGATTGGCATACCAACGCATGCTCGGTCATACTACTTACATTCTCCTTATTGGAACACTATCAGTGTTCCAGCAAAAGGTCCTGGAATCGGAAAAGGAAAGCTCACATATCCTCAGGTATGCTTGAAAATGGGTGCCACTCTAAAAAGATTTCAAGATAGAACATTATTTTTTAACCAATTAACATTTAACAGAATTTTTCAGAAAATTATACCTCACCCTCTATGAGAATGGTTCATATATTATATCAATGACTTAATTATTTTTTATAAAAATTTATTTTCTTAATTTTATTTTTTACAGCGAAAAAATTACAAATAATAGCTAACCTTGCATATCTACACTCTTTGCACCAATTGCTGAATTTTGACTTTTTCTTGGAGCCATTCATATCTCTATTCATTTTTCACTTCATCATTAATGTTTTGTCATAGATAATTTTTAAAAAAAATTAATTTAATTTTACCCAGCATCTCAAATTATCAAGAAAAAATACAAACTCAGTCAGATTCAGATTTAACTATACAAATTTTGTTTACACAAGTTCCGTCAATCCCACTCTTTCTTTGTGATATGACTTCATTAATTGATCATTTTGTATTAATTTTGAAAAATAACAATGCTTTCAAAAAGTAATCTATTTTTTATTTATTTTAACAGAATTTTTTTTTGTTAAATTTTCATAAGTAAGGAAACATTTAATTTCTTTTTGAAAACATAATTTTAAAAAAAATTGGAAATATATATTAATTGGTGGACGGAATTCAATCTACTTGATCTTTTCTTAAGGCTGACTTCAGTCCAAGGGACTAAAGAGTGGAATCCGTGTTATTTATATTACAATCCTCTTTGCTTGCATTATTAAAATTACTTGATTTATCAACACTATAACGTTTGGACAATTTTATGAGTAGAGAGTTAGTCAAAAGCTATAATAGTCAAAAGTTGAACAATTCAATATATTTCATTTTCTGTTCATTTAAACAATAACAAAAGTACTATCTGTCTCTAAAATTTAAGAACATAACGAAGTTCGATAATACTGTATAATTAAAAAATATGTGACGTATTAACGGGCAACCCAAACGAAATGTTATTAAGAAATGTTCGTTAATTAAAATTTACTTTAATATTGCAATTTTTAAAATTTTTGTTAAATGGCTGTAACAAACGTTTAAGCACCATTAATTTCTTAATAAATGAAGGATCGGTTCGATGAAGTGACGTATTTCCTGCAAAGCATAATGACAGGCAGATTATCTCTAATCAAGAACTCAGACGTTCACAGTTCTGTAAGCTGCAGAATTTACAAAAACAGAGTTTTGAAAATAAGTAAAATTCCAAAATGGAAAAATGTGTGTCTGAAATTTCAAGCTTCTGAAATAGATCAAAGTCATGTATTTATCAAGTGTTGGAGAAAAAAGAATGATTTCGCCTGAAAACCGAGATGCGAACGAAGGCGTGTGATGAATGTTCAGACCGATAGGCGAATTCGGCAAAATATTTCAATTTGTATTTGATCTATAGGCAAAATATGTCAATTTGTAACGGGGAAAAAACACTATAGGTGTAGCAGTGCCTCGATAATATAGAAATATTTCGAAAAAAAAAAAAATTCGCCGCAAGCCATGTCTTAAACCACATAATAAACGGGCAAGAGTGAACAAAGCAAAAAATCGCATGGCAATAAATGGTTATCTATACCAGTCAGTGATATAGAGAAAAAATAGAACTAAATGATCCTGACGACTGGAACTCATGTTTGCATGAACTTCGAAAAGAGCCAAGGAATTTCTTCAACAGGTAAATCTCTAATAATTTGGGGACATGCCTGCATTTCTTAAGCATGCCTGCATTTTCTTAAGCGAAGACATACATATGAAACGTAGAAAGTTACACTGAGACAATATATTCTCCCTTTTTAAGAGCTCCAAGGAGGCCCTGATTTTATATTTCAACAAGACAATGCCTCAATAAAAGATTAGCCTATCCCCGAGTCCGAGCTTAAATCCAATTGAGAATGCATTAAGCATTTTAATCTGCCCAGCGTATAGAAATAGTTAGGATTAAAGAAATCCAAGAGTCTATTGAGAAAGCATGAAATTCTCGCCCCCTCCCCCTAGAAACACACCAGAAGCTAATTAATTCAATGGAAAAATGTATATTCGATGTCATTAAGAATAATAAGGGATCAATATCCAAGTACAGTAGGGAACCGATTATCCGGAAAGATCGGGACCATCGCTATTCCGGATAACTGATTTTTCCGGTTTTCTGAATCGCTACAAAAAGCCGTTTTTTTTATTGTCAAACTCAACTAAAAAAAAAATATTTGGAAATAATCTTAGAAAGAAGAAAAAACAATGAAGTAATACACTAATGATTATTTCCAAAATGATGGTAAGGTAAATATCTTTCAAAAAAGAAAGAAAAATCCTGAAATCTTACGATGGAAAAAAAAAATTTAAAAATGGCGGGAAAATTTATCGAATTTCGTTCCGGTGTTTTGGTTTTCTGATTTCCGGATAACGGGTTCTGTACTGTAATATTCTTTAAATTGTGTTATTTTAGCTCCTACTTAAACTCTTGATGCAGCCTATTATTTATTTCAACAAAATCAGAAAATAAATATTTTTGTGTTATTTATTTCCTGCTTTTAATTACAATACATGCAAATGTCCTTTCGTTAACATTCTGTTCCTGCCTTTGAAAATCAAAATTTTTTGTTAGTACTTAAGCTTTTGAAACGATTATTAAAATTTTGTTGATTCGAATGTAGTTTGAAAATAGAAAGGTCATAGCGGCAAACAAGATAAACAAACAGTAAAAATAAGCTCAAATACAAAAATAAAATAAAAATGAAAGCATAAAATATTTTGTTACCATCATGCAATTGAGCTTAGTTTTTCGTGTCATTGTCCGGTTTTGAGCGAATCCATAAGGCTAATCATAATTTTTTGTCAAGCTATCCTGTAATATCTCATTAAAAATAAAATTTATTATAAATATATTACTATATTATACCAGCTTTTAAAAGTTTCACTATGTACATAGATTAAGGTTATATCACCTGTTATCCAAAAATTCGCGATAACTATTTAGATTTATTTACTTGTGCTGAGCTAGCAAACAAACAATAAATTTATTATTAAAAACGTGCAATCTAGATATTGCCTTATCAATCAATTAGGAAACCTTGTGGGGAAAAAAACGCGATTCAACAAGATTGGTAATTAAGACAACGATAAGGCTAACAATATACTTTGGTACTTAAAGAATAGATTGTTACTGGAATTAACAACCTGTTTTCGAGAGGTCCAATGTGTACGGATAGTTTTTAAACCTTCATCGCAGAACTTATAGCTTGAGATTAGAGAGCTTTTACATTACGTAAACCTTATTTTCCGCTTCTTAGCGATACTGCACATGCTCAGACATAGTGTATTGCACCTCACTAGAGGCCCTGAATTAGTATAGCCGATTTTGTGCCCTGAAGTAGCGTAGGTACGTTAATTTTAACGTAAGTACATATTTTAAAAATGGAGACAAAAAAACGCCTTAGTTGGAATATAACCGATGAAATATTTCTCCTCAGAAAAGTTATAGCTTCTAATTCTTATGAAGATCTGGGGCGTTGAAAGGATGTACAGTGCGTCATTAAAAAAAAACGGACCATCATGAATAACTTTTGATCTAATGATCGGATCTTCACGTTCTTAATAATTCGGAGGGGGTGACCTCAAACATGTTAACTAATAAGCTCAGTCGATATTTTAAGTTACGAAATCAGACACAAAAACGCACTTTCTCTGAATAAACATACCCTTTTTTTTTCCCCCCTTCTGAATTCAGATTTCGGAACTTAAAATAATGAAGTTCCCATAGTTAGATCAGGAGAGCGATCCTAAGTTCTGATCTCAGAATATTAATTTTATTTTTTGCGTATTTCGCCATATCTCGGGAACTTCTTAAACGAATTGAGAAAATTTCGGAGACAATTATAAAATTCGCTTATCCAAAGATAATTCCATGCAAAAAATAAGTTTTAGTTAATATTTATTATCATTTTATTTAATTAAAGTCTAAAGTTTTTTTTAATTGCTAGGTAAACAACTTTTCACATCATTTTAAAGCATGTAATTTTACATGGCAAAATACAAAATTCAGCGAAATCGGGTGAATAATCCCTGTGAAATTGGCTTTCAAAAAAGTTATTTATTTACAATTTGATTTCTGATTTCTCAGGAACTTATACGACCAATTTCCATCAAAATTTCTTTTTTGCTGTGTAAAATTACTTGTTTTAAAATTATGTAAAAAATTGTCGACCTTACAATTAAAATTTTTCCGACTGTTATTAAATAATAAAAAAATCAACTAAAATTTAAATTCATAATAAACATACTACTACTACTAAACTTTAGCTTAACGAGCAATCATAAAGTTTGCTGTTTATGGCCAATATTATCTGACTGAATCAGCAATTATTTCTTTACTAACTATTAGTCAGTTTAACGTTGTTTATCATAACCTTGGTGTTAATCAGCTAAAAGTAATGTCAAGTGTCAGGTGACTTTATTTACTTTCTCTATTAGTTCTCGCTTAACCGAGTTCAGAAATAGTATTTTTATTACGTAATTAATATTTTCACACTGTTGCACTCGTAAACTTATTGCACTATGCAATCGATCTAAAGCAGGGGTTTCCAACTTACATGAGGCCGGGGGCCACAATTAAAGACACAAATCACATGGCGGGCCGCAACTTTATTAAAATTTTATGTAGGACTCTTTTATGTTTGAAGGAACATTAAATATTACTGTCAGATTTTTACCAAGTTGTATAAAACAAAGGAATTGAATTACAAATTAAAATAAGAAGTAGATTTTTAAAAATATTTAATTACATATTAAAAAATTCGGGCTGCAATAACTTTAATGTGCGTATTGAACAGTTAATGTGCAACAGATATCTAATTGTTAAGATATACAACTTAATAATGGTTGATATTAAAACTTACATAGTAGCACACAAAAATTTCAATGACAAAATTTAGGTTTGTCTTCTGCAACCACCAGAGAATAGATATTTACAGATTAAATTTAAAATTTACAAGTGTGTGTGTAAATATTTTCGTCCAAAATGATTGGTTTCAAAAAGTTAAATCGGAGAGATTCTTCGAGAAAATTTCTGATACACACAAGCTAAATTATATTCACAAAATACAAAAAAATAAATAAAAAAGAGCAACATACACGATTATTTTTGTATTTGAATAAATATTTTCTTGAATGCAAAACCGGAGAAAATTCTTTTTTTTGCACCGTTGGTATGATAAATTTCACAGAAACGAAGAAATTAGGTTTTTATTAACGAGAAAAGTATTTTAAACCCATATAAATTTTTTACGAAAATTGTCCGCAAAAAAATGACAACTAATATATTTAAGTTCGCGGGCCATAAAAAAAGGCTTCGCGGGCCGCCAGTTGGAAACCACTGATCTAAAGGAATATTGGAGTACAGCATATATAATAATAAACTTTTTTTAAGATTTAATCTTACATTTTTAATAGGATCTAAAGAGTTAAGCTCTTACTTTTTCAGTTTCATCCTGTCTTTTCTCCTTAAATGTTTACTCAACACACTACATGTTAATGAGCATTTTTCTTTAAGCAGTACATTTCTTATTTTTAATTCTAACGTTATTCACAAAACATGTAAGAAATAGTAAAATATCCAAAGAAAAAAAGAGAAAGAACTATTTTGAAGTAAAATAGGATGGTATAATCTTAAAACATTTTCTTCCTTATCAAAGAAAATCCATTCTAGGAATAGTTCGTCTATCTGAAATGTATTTCCTGACGAGACGAAACTGCGATAATTTTAGTATAAATACTTCCTCGATTTACCCCTCTTTTATACCATCGTATAACGCTAACAACAAATTCTTCTATTCTAAAAAGTATAACGAAAATAAAAAATAATTAAAAGAAAAAAAACTAATTACATGAAGAAAAAAAACTAATTAAATGAAAATAAAGGAGAGAAAAAAACTCTCGACAGCAAACGGCACGCAGCGCAAACAAATCTCATCAAATCTACATACATTAAAACGTGCGGCCTATGAAAAATAGCATTTCCAAACGTAATGCAAAAACTGTTACGTTAATTTTTTTTTTTCTTTTCTTACATTAAGCCTCGCACGTGCTCTGTTAAGCTTAATTAGAGTTTGCATCAACAGGAAACCATCACGGAACTCAGAAGCTCTCTATCAAATAAATCTAACTAATAAATCGTACAATAAATTAAACTAGCTGCCTTCTGCGACCATTCACAATTGTGTAGTACAGCACATAAACTCTAATGGTCACCAAGCCAAATGCACAGCCAGGGCCTGATTACCGAAAAGGCACAGGAAGCAAGTGCTTCCCCTTTTAAATTCTAGGGGGGCCCCCAAATGACTGAAATTAAGGGCCCAATTTCTTATTTTTTGTAGCCAAAAAAAATATTAATAATAAAAGAAAAAAAAAAAAAAAATGACTCCAACAAAAACTCTCGAAAAGAAAAAAAATGGGATGCTTAATAAATGGGATGCTTTGTGTTGTTTTGCCGCTAGTAAAAAAATTGGCATAAAAAAAGAGACTCTTCTTGCAAAGAACCTTTCGTATAACAACAAGTAACTTTATAATTTAATTTAGTGAAATATTTAAATTTTTTCAACATATGTGCTAGCTACTCCCTCATGTTTTTGTTACTATATATAGTTGGCTACTATACATGTTGGACCCTACTTTACGTGCTTTATAAAGCACGTAAAGAAGGGTCCAACATGATTGCATAGGATCTCTGTATTCCTTTCTAAGGTTCTAATAGTTTTCACATGGTTCCTCCCTCTTTAAAATGTATTGTTTATGGGTGAAAAATATCAAAAGTTTCTTTTGCTCAAGTTAGGGGGCCCCCAAAATCCTATTATGCTTCCCCTATTTTCAGAGGTTAATCGGGCCCTGTGCACAGCAGAAGTGAATTTAACTATTCTAATTCAACATTTTAATTAATTTTAAGCAATATATTAACCAATTTTTTTCTCTCCACCGTTTAGCTGTAGCCCGTGGCTTTGCTCTCACTGAAGTACTTGGGTTACAGTTCTAACTATTTTCACAAAAATGTGCGTGATATTGTGAAAGTTCTCCATGTATTCAATTTTAGTAATATTTTTAAATTTGTCGGTATGTATGAGTTCGGGATATACGTGCTATACTACTTCCTCCGATCCTTAACTAGAGTATCGAATAATATAGTATGTACTATTACTCGAAAAAGGAGAGCTGTGGCACCATAGAACAGTTAATGCTTAAAATCACAACAGCCCTTTTAAAAAAATCAAAAGTAAATCTAAAAAAGTTACTTTTTAATTAACTGGACGCAATGAAATTCATCTCCTTTTTTCTTTAGCTAAATTTTTATGAGCTTTAAAAATAAATTAATGTCTGCGGTAGTTTATATTTCTGGGCGACTTTTCGCTTGCGCCCGACTAACTGAAAAGTAACCCAAGTTTTTATATGTATAAAAATACTAACATATTCTAACAATTCAATCCTCTTAAATTATTACTTAAGACAATCTAAGAAAATTAATATTAACTATAGTGTTGCAAATAAATAGAGAAAAACCAAAGCCTACGGTGTCACTTAAGATATATATATATATTGTTTAATTAAAGATAATTAAGTTAACGTGAAATAAAAACTTTACACGATATATTTGGAGGGAAAAAATAAAAAAAATTTCCCTCCAAATTCGGAACGAGATTTTGAAGGGGGGGGGGGAATGAATAGCAGCATTGACAAAATTTTTTATTTAATTATTCTATAAATTCTGAACACGATGTGTGTTAAACACGTAAACTCTAAATTTCGGCAAAAAAATAATGATTTCTTTTTTTTATCAGGTTTGCAATTTTCTTAAAAAGGGAGCAAGGCAAATATTTGATCTATCAACGAAAGTTCCATTTGCCCACTTAGGACACGATTGGATAGCTTTTGACAATGATCACAGTATTTCGTTTAAGGTAAATAACTTTACTTATTATTACACATTTAAAAAGATTATAAATTTTTAACATTTCAGATTTGAAGTATACTACTTGTACTGGAGAAATGAATGATTTCTGCAAAAGATACGTAAAAAAAAAGTATTTGGAAGTAGGGTTGCGCTGGGACGAGTAAAGCAGTAAACAGCATGACATAACCTGCACAAATTGGGAGGGGGAAAAAAAGTTCAAAGAAAGTAACGCAATTAAAAAATATTTGTTTTGTCCCCTACAAAGCTAACTTCTATTATGAGGTTGTTTGACAGGGCCTATCCTACAATAATGGAAGAGACATTTTCTGTTTTAGACGTTTTAAATTTCTAAAGAAATACTGAAAGGATTATTTTGTAATTTTAGATATGCGATTTTTCATATCTAGCAATAAAATGTAAAGCTTTCAGAGGCCTACAATAAATTACGAAAGAAAAGTAATTTACCCTAAGCCAGAAAATCAAGCAATAAGCTTGTATCGATTACTTTAATTATTTTTAAAAACTGCGTAAAGTTTCGTTAACCTAGAGTAAATATTTATGGAAATATAAACATTTTAGTAAAAAATTTCGTCCTACGTTTTTTCATTATAACTTCACAGATATTCAATGCAATGAAACAAAATTTTTGGAGCAATTTAAGATTAATAACAAAATTGTTGCTAGTTCTTTTATACTGCGTATGCACTGAAAGAATGTTCAAGTTTTTTCATAATTTTGCAGTCAATTGAATTTGGCAACTAATAAAAAAAATTTGGTTTGAATATCTTAAAAATTTAGAATTTTTTAAGATATTCAAATAAGCTTTTAACATTAGTAGCCAAATACGACTTTCGTATCGCAGTGTAAAAGAACTAGTTTATAACGGATTCTTATAAAATTTTAAAACAATTTCGTAATTAATCGTAAATTGCTCCAAAAATTTTGTTAGCAAATAAAAATGTAAGGCGAAAATAATTTTTTATAAAAATGTCCCATCTCTATAAATGATTATTCTAGGTTTACGAAACATTATGCAGTTAATAAAAATAACTGAAGTAATCGATACAAGTTACAAATTTTTTGCTTGATTTTCTGGCATAGTGTTTCTTACATAATTTATAGTAGGTCTTCCAAACCTCAGAGCTTAAAAATTTATTGCTAAATATCGAAAATCTCATCTCAACACCTCTTAAAGTTGACAAAATAATCTTTTAAGTATTTCTTGAGAAATTGAGTGGACGTTGCGTTAAAAAAAAGCTGACTGTTCAATATAAAAATGGTTTTTGACGATTTTGATTTCAAAAAAAATTTCAGTCATCATTTTTTAAATTCACTGATGTTTAATTTAAGAGCTAGATATGCATTCTAAATGTTTCAGTGGCTGGTATCCGACTGTGCGAAAATCAGCAATTTCGACGAAATTTTTTTTCTATTTGAACTTAAGTTTATGATTTTCGATTTTCAAAAATGAAGTTATAAGAAGCCTTTTCGTCAACTGACAGACAAAACTGAAAGTTAACTCACGAAAACGAAACTAAAATGTTTATTGTTATGTTGAGTTCTTTAATACTTTTAGGACAAAATTTCGTTTCACAATTTTTTTCCATTTTAAATGCAGTTTCTGAAGACCGATGACCTTGAGAAAAAATTTTCTAACATACATAACAAAAAGCTATCTTGGAATCCTTCGAAATTTAATTAGATTTTGCATAATGCCAGCGATGTTTTGAACTAGAAGTTAGTCTAAGGACGAATTAGTTATTTTGTTATCAAGCTTTAAGTACGATATTTAGAAATTTTTCATTAAAAATGCAATATTAAACACATTCCCTTGTCTTCTAGAGACATTTTTTTTAAAAGATTTTAATTCAAAGCCAAGTAACCAATTTATGATCCAGAAATTTCTTTTTCTCGTTTTTTATATTTATGCATTACAATTTCCTCGAGTTGAAAGCGTACTTCTAAATAAATTAATTTGTTTTAATATCACTCTTGGACTTCAAAATAACGCATTTTAGTTTTTACATCAGCACAAATTTCTTCAATTAATCAAAGATCCTGATTATTTTAACCCATCAAACCATTTCGTCAGATACACTGCTACAACGATTTTCCATTCCATTTTAACACTTTTTTTCCCTTTTATCTAATGTTTAATTGGAATTCATTAGTTATTACATGAACACAAATTATTGCTTCCTTTTCTCCAATTAATCAGATTACGATTATTTTGACTGCTACAATGATTTTCATTTCCATTTTAACACCCTTTTTTTTTTAATTTTTTAAAATGTTGAATTAGGAATTCACAATTGTCAAAACAAAAAGTTTTCAATAGTTGTTTAATTTCAGAGTCAATGGGTAAAAGAAGAAGGATATGGAGGAGTCATGATCTTCAACTTGAATAATGATGATTGGAGTGGTAGTTGTGATAACTCAACAAAGTTTCCTTTGACTCGAGCTGCTTTTAAAAGTTTGACATAATTTATGAAGAAATGAGTAAACAGACAGAACAATGGACATACATGCATAGAATCTCACCACGAAATTATTTATTTCATAATTCATAGACTTGTAACAACATTTATTGTTAGTAGCCATTTGTTGAAAGAGTAGCATATCTAGTCAAATCAAGAAAGGCATGTAAAAAAATTTAGATTTTGCTCTTAATAAATTAAGTTGGAAAAACTATTACAAATTAAGTTATATAATAAAAATTACTATATAAAAGGAATTGCTGTATTAAATAAACGCAATTACTATAAACTAAGTGAACAATTTGAAAAATATATTTTATAAGCATACTCAGTCATTAACTTAAGAGAGTAATCTTTATTTCACTTGATATGACTCTAGTGAATTGCTTGTTGAATTCTTAATTTGAATTATTTCTTACTAAGCGCCAGACATTTCCATATCGTCTAAAAATAGTAAATAACTTTATGACCCTATCTTCCTCTCTTTTAAAATTACATAAGAAAATTAAATCACATTCTTTTTATAACATTCACAAGACCGAACAATTTTGAAGTAACAAATCAGGTGAAATACATAAAACACTACAATCCACTTTGTACATTAGTTGATGATCACAAAGTTCAACATCAATTTCTAGCTATTTTAAAGTTGTTAATTAAGTCCCAGAGGCATCACGGAAAAATGACACATATGAGAAACATTTTCAAAAGATAAAAAATGAAACAAAAATAATAATAAAAAAAAAAAGCCTTGGAGAATAATTTGTGTATTTATGCTAGAATCGAAAAGAATTTTCATTCTGTTCGGTATATTAATAAATGTATAAACTTCTTTCCTCGGCAAATTTTAAAAGTCAAGCAACAAATCTCAGAAAAAGTTAAGATTCAGGTAGACAGGGGTGATTGTGAGCCCAAGTCAAAATTCCGGAAAAGAAAAAAAAAAACCAGTTTAAGTTGAAAAAAATTTAAACAAGATTTTTTTCTTTCTTTTTCTTAATATTTCTTAGGTTACTTAAAATATATTTAAAATTTTACACATACCTATGATGACCTGAAGAAGTAATTAAAGTTTACAAATATGTCATTCTTTCTTGGGTTTATGATTATAACAACTATTTACTGACAAAAAATGAATATTAATCATGAATATAAGCTTATAAAGTATCTCTCTGGCTCTCCCTTACAAACAAATAAAATAGTGTTTTTAAGTTCCACCTTTGAAAATTTGATTTCCGGAAACTTCTGTGATCAATGATTTTTTTAAACGTCTGGACCTTCGATCTCCGGATCACTATTACCGAAAATTCCGGAAATCCGGAGCACAATCAGCCCTGGGTAGAATAACTTTCTTAATTAATTGCAATGGGAATTTTGTTCATATCTTCAATTATTACTTTTACTTGGTGAGATGAACCATGTTACTTGGATGCCCAATTCAAGAATTTTCAATTAATGCTCATATTAAAAAATGTGATGTAAATTCTTTAAATGCACTTTATTTATAGCTTTGAAAGTGTGATGAAAAGATAACAAATAACATACAAAATACTTACAAGTATGGAATGAATTTTATTTAACATGATCTTCACTACACAATGTCTTAATTCACTATACAATGATATTTATAAATGATAATGATGATAAAACGATTTAGCAGTAATATGTACAAATTTTTTTTTAATTGTAAAAAAGAGAAAGATTAGATAGAAGTATACCATTTTGACAGGTCAGCAAACTGCAGTGGTCTAGAAAGTGCACAACATTCTTGAAGTTAACGATCTAAAGAAAGCAAATAAGAAAAACAAGAGAAAAAAACAAAACAAAAAAGAAAGAAAAACTGTTTAGGAATGTTTGAAATTGATGCAAATCCATTTCCATACTAATTCCTATGAACATGAAAAGAAAAGAAAAATTTTACACATTTTTCAATCATGACATATTTAATAATATCATTCCTGTTACTTTTTCAATATCACTTTGATCACAAGACAAATGGGATAAAACTTCATTCATAAGATAGCACCAGATGACAAAATGTAATAATATCAGCAAGGTTTTCTGTAAAGAGAACACATAATCTGCATATTTTTATACGAAAACAACTTTGCTGAAAAGGAAATATAAATTAACGATACATTTACATTGAGCATTGCTTTAATTGGAAGACTAAATTAAACATATCACCATTATCCACGAGTTGTTGTCATACTTAATTTAAGGCTACTGTTTAAGTATAAGCAAAATTTATCGTCATATTTTCAATACGTAATATCAGACATAGGATTGCTGGATGAAAAAACTATCTGAAATTTTTTTTCTTAACGTGCATACTTTTAAGTATTGAATTTTTTCTTTCATTTTTGTAGGCACATGATAAATAAAAGGTTGTCATTTGCACATAAAGGTAATAATTATCTAATAATTTTTTATCTTAAAACAGAAAAAAATATATATACTGAAAAGAATTACACATTCTTCCTTCTTCACTTATGTGAAGGTTAATTTCGCCCATACTTTAACATTAGGGAAAAACAAAGAAATATGATGGATAATTTCACCCATACTTCAACATTAGGGAAAAACAATCTTAAAATGGCAAACATATATTAAGTACATAATGAGTAATCCATGAGCATTACTTAACTGCCAGCCTACTTACCACACCTTACCTCACAGAGGATCATAGGCTCCCAGAATGTTCTGGAGCGCCATTTAATAATGGCTAGCAGGTAGGCTCTAATTTTGAGATGAATAACCACCAAGAGTTTTTGACCATCTGTAGTGTAATAGAAGCCTTATCAGAATTTAAAATCACCAAAGATATGAACAACTACCAATAAAATACATAGCATCATTGGAAGAGAAACAGAATGTAAAAACCCATCAACCAACATAACAATTCATCAAAAAAAGAGACATAGCAAAATATTTTTCAATAGAGAAAACTATCACAATCATATAATGAATGTCATCAATAAGTCATACATCTCATTATAGAGTAAGCATTAATGGGGCAATCAATCAATATCTTAAGATATAAAAAGCCTTCAACAACCAATAAAACATGACATTTTATGCAGCAAATACTAAAACATAGCAAGATATAGTCCTTATCACAAACATGTAATCCATTCAATTAATAAATTAAAAAAACATCCAATAATAATGAAGATAGAAATGGAAAGACAAGCATAAAATATTTTCAGCAAATAACAAATAAGGTTAATATCAGGGTAGTTCAAAACAAAAACATTTGAAATTTATAAAAATCATGAACATTTAGAAAAGCTACATTTTAAAAACTTAGAAAAAAAAATCCCACATAAAAACATATATTAACATTTAATATACAGGTAAAATTAAAATTTTAGAATATTAATACATAATTATTTTTAGGTTTCTCAAAATTAAAGAATAAAAACAAAACATTTATAGTAAATTAATTATTGGCATAAAAAAATAAAACAAAATTGAATACCATCACAAGGCTTTGTTTCAGATAAGAAAAATAAGGAACCCAAACCTTTGAATAGAAACAATTGAAACGACACGAAAGTTCTAAACAGAAAGGAATAAAAACCATACTCTTAACAACAGCTCATCAAAATATGGATTTAAAAAGGATATATCAAAAAATCAGAAGCAAAGACTGAATAATCATGACAAAAAATGTATGTCTTCCAAAATACATATCAAACCAACTCAATGAAAAAAAAAGCAAACAAACAATTGTCAGTAAAAAATGGGACAACTTTAAACCTCTCTAAAAGGAGAAGAAGTGCGAATAAATCTACAGACTCTATAAGTAAGAACTAATTAAAAAATTGCAGCTATATCAAAAATTTCAAAATTCAATTGAGGCATTTTACTTATTTTATACTGAAATATAAATTTTAAGGGTTTCCTTCTGTTTTTTATACGCCGCTCATTTTTCAACTTTCCCTTTTATTGATTGTCATAATATAACTATTTATGTATCAGTAAATATATGTAATGCTTCAAGAAACAAATTGCATAATTTTGAGGTATCTGTTTTGCAGTTAATCTTGCTAAAAATGAAACAAATACATTGATTTAATAAAATATAATATTCAAAACTATACAAAAAAATAAATAAAGCATGTCTAGAGCAATTTTGTGAAAGTAAGACGGAACTGGAGCAGTTTNTTTGGGGGGGGGGGGATAACGCCAAAACTACAGAATTCTTGTTATATAACTATCTACTAACAGGAATTGAAAAACTGCATACTACATACAAAATTGCACAATTATGGTCCTTAATTCTGGTTTCAACTTAATTTAATGAAAAAAATTAAATCAAATAACATTAGCCTATAATGGTTAGTACAAAACAACAGAGTCTTGATCTCTACTAAAATGAAAATATCGATGCCAACCACTCCCTACACTTTTTGTTAATATTTTACAGAGCAGTAACCAACATATTTTTGCCAACATTTTAAAATCCCCACCACAATAGAGCTTAGACAAAGTAGAATTACAGTAGGGCCGGGAAGAATAGATTTATGTTTATTTAATGCCGAAGAAATATTGTGATTAATAGAACATGGAAAAAAAATGTTTCCCCAAATATGAAATGAAAGGAAATAAACTATCTTTTAGTTTTGAAATGAACAATTAAGAACTAAATATAACACAGACTCAATGATCATCATGAAGATGTGCAAGATTATTAGGATAACAGATTAGATCTCGAATTTACTTATTAAAATTTCATACATCAGACAACCTACATAGTAAGTAACTTGCACCCTATCTCTATGATTTTATGCATAACAAGCTATTTGAAAAATCGAGAATGCAAGTTTAAGCAAGAAATGTCAAAACGCATGGCCAAAAGAAAATCCAACAAATACACCAATTCAAAGGAAAATAAATCCTGAAATAAAAATGATTATGCAAAATATAGATTCAATATTAAATTCAGTGAAATCCCTATCATTTAAGAAGTCATTTAAAGTATGTTCTGCTTACATAATTAAAGCAGTAAATGAAATGTAAGATGTCTATTTAAAAAGATGTATCAATACTTAATATACAATTATTTGAAAGTAAACATTAATTTATCCTAAACAAATTTATTTAAATCAATTAACATAAATCTGAAAATAAAACAGATTATTGGATTTTTTTTTTTGTAAAATGATATAAAAAAACTTTTTATATGTAAGCACTAATAAGCATAAAGTTCACAAAATTTTAACAAAAACTATTATTTATTAATTTATAGACATTTAAAATTTTCATAAATACAAAATTTATTTTTTCAAACATTTAAAATCTTCCAGATCAGTTATACAAACAACTTTATTAAAACTGAACTAACCTTTCACTGTGGTGCAGCAGCTGCTGCAAAAGGTTGTTGCCCATATCCAGGATAATTGTAACCTACAAAAGCATTAGGTTGTTGTTGTCCAAAAGGTTGACCAAATGGAGCAGGTGTTGGCCACTGAGCTTGAGGTCCACCAGGAGGGAATCCTTGAGGGTGTCCAGGAGGAGCAGGGACTCCAGTGGGAGCAGGTGGAGCTTGAGCTCCTGCAGTTGGTTGCTGAACGGGAGGAGCAGCAGGGGGACCAGATGCTGGAGGAGGTTGAGAAGGAGGACCATTAGGCTGAGGTGCAGTTTGAGGAGCAGAATTTGGTGCTTGAACAGGAGTTGTGGTTGTCGACTGACCTTGAGGAAACGCCATTCCAGGCTGCTGAAAAAATAATTAGTCTTTAAACAATGAAAAAATAGTATATAATAAATACACAGAAACCTGATTTTAAATTTTTCCTTCTTTCTTTCATTTTCTTTTAGAAGCCAGAACAAATTATGTTTAGTTATAGGTCTGGCATCAGAATTTCTCAAATAAATTCGTAACCCCATTGCAATCAAGATAGAAATTTATTCAAGATAGAAATTATATCAAGATAGAAATTTAAAAATTTATTCAGTGACATTTTTTCAAATTAAACCTTACTTGAGGAGTCATAACTGTAGTCATTTGTGTTTTTGCTTGATTTTCAATCATCTCAGCTTCTCTGTACATACCCAATGATCTGTAATACTCAGCCCAAGCAGCACTATAATCTGGCTGGGCAGCCACGGCACTTCCAACTGGAGCTGCAGCAGTTGGAGCAGCAGGAGTGGCTGAAAAATATAAAATTAATTTATATGGTACAATAATACACTTAATTATTCTCTTCAGATTATACCGTAATTATTCTTAATTATTCTCTATACACTTAATTATTCTAATCCTATAATATACACTTAATTATTCTCTTCAGATCATATGCTGTTCAAAACTCAAACATATTTCATTGTGAGCTTCAACATTAACATTTAATTAAGAATCTAGAAATAGGACTAGGCGATACATTGGAAAATATTGATGTTATGCTATAATCATCGGCTTTATATTTGGAGTGGCAAAGAATAATTTTCCTCAAAGCATCGGAAATAAAAATATATCCGGAATGTGTATAATGTATCAAGATGCAGTCACGATTGATACTTACACTCATGACAAAGAGCATTGTTTTTGATAGTGCATTGATTGTTTCCAGATAAAGAGCAAAAAAGAAGGGGGGGGGAACTAAATAAAGAAATCATTAAAAAATACAACTATTGACAACTAGACTAATTTACACCATTTTTTTTTACTTATTTTATTTGTTAGGTAACTGGAGATAGTTTATTACAGAAATAGAATTTAATTATCTCAATATATGCTCAAAAAGTTAAAGAATTCAATAGTTAACAGATTAACTAAAAAAAGGCAGTTCTGAATAAAAGCATTTAATACATCAAAGAGAGATAAAAGATTAATTAAACAAGGGAGTTCCTAATGAAAATAAACTCAAAATTTTAGAGCAAAAAAGTTTTAAACTGATTTTTATAAACTAGGCTTGCTTTATTATGCATTAATAACTTTTATTTAGATATTCAAGCAAGTAATAATCTGAGCAAAAATGATATTTCAATAAGGAAATTTTTAGGAAACTTAATCAATTTTAGAAAATTTTTAAAAACTTTGAGAATTTTTATTAAACTAAGAAAAACTGGTGAAATTCAGTAGAGTTGAAGAAGTTAGCTAGAATATAGCTCACTGTAACAATACTTTTAGACTTGAGGGTAAAATAAAGAAATCTTTAATTCCCCGCCCCATCAAAATTACAGAATTCTGGTTACAGACCCCGTTATAAGTACTGGTGTTTCGGACCAGCGGATAAATTTTCCTAACTTCTACCATAGTATCACAGAGGATTATACTTAACAAAATGAAAGAAAATTTACCAGCAGGTGGTTGCTGAGACGCTGCTTGATTTTGATCAGGCTGAGCAGGCATTCCTGGCTGTGGAGCTACACCGGGTTGAACAACAGGTTGCGCACCACCGGGTTGCATTTGATGAGCTTGTTGCTGACCATAATATTGACTATAATAAGCAGCCCAAGCTGCTGCATCTATAAAGAACAATTAAAAATTAAAACACTTTTCCTTTCATTGATCACATTAAAAAAAAAAAGTCTACAAAACAATAATTAATAATAACATACTAGGGTCTGTAGCTGGAGCAGTCTGTCCTTGCCAAGGCTGATACGCATTGGCCCAACCTTGGGGAGCATATGGCTGAGCAGGTGCTGGTGCTTGTTGGCTAAAATTGAAAATCGCTCAATTAACAGCAGTAGAGAAACAATATACAAGTTAAAGAATGCTTAAATCATTAGGCTAGCAGAATTTGCAGAACACATAATTGAGTCGCTCAGAAGCCAATGCGGTTAAGTCCAAAACACAAAAATTGAGAAAATTAATGTTTTTTGATACATTAGTTTTTAAAATTCTTGGTTTAATAATTTAATTAGAAAATCGAGGTGTAAACTCTGCAAAAAAACAAGATATGTACAGGATGTCTAAATATAAACGTAAGTACTTATTGAAATAATGACAGCATCTTAAAAATTTTAGGACTTATACCTTTTGGCAGCTGAAAAAGATAAGAAATTTGTGTAAAAAAATATTGATAAAAAGTGGACTTATTCACAATGGCTTCTGAAATTATTATACAATATATTCAGAAGCTATTAAAAAAAGGGCTGTCTAACCTAGAAAAAAGTAACCAACGAGTAAATCCTTTAATAACTAAGAAGATTATTATTTATTTCATCAAAATTTCCAAAAATCAGAAAATATCAAAAAATGGACTTAACCGTATTGGCTTCTGAGCGGCTCAATTATCTAATAAATCTTAATTATCAATAATAAAATGCTTGCAATAATTTTTCAATTATTTTAATAAATGCCTTTATGACACGTATGATATAGGCAGATCCGTATAATATATACAAAAGCTGCTTGCAGAAATTTTTTCAAAATGTGGGAATTTTTTATTATTATTACGAAGGGGAAAAAAGATTAATTTTTACGCTTTTCCCTATCAATGAAAACTAGATAAAATTTACATTCAGGTGATTTGAAAATCACACATCGGAAATTCCTATTTATGCGATTTAGGATCATGTTCCTTACTTTCCCGATTTTGTATGAAATATTGCATTTTATATTCACATGATTTAAAAGCAACAATTATTGAAGTGTTCAAGTGACACACTAAAAATTCATATTCATGAGATTTAAAGATTATACATTGAGATTCATATCCACAAAATTTAAATAAATAAATAAAATCTTGCATTATTTTTTTAAAAACTTCAATACATTCTGAGAACAAATATTTTCGGCATGTATTTTACTTGCTGAAATTGCAGGTATTTTTTCAATTATTTGAAGTGCTTCTACACATGAAATTTTTTGATTTTTATTTTCAGTTTTTTTTTTTTTTTTTTTTTTTAAAAAAACTTAACCTATCCTTGTAGTATGAATCAATAGAGTTCCGTATAAAAAGAGCAATTTTTTTTAAAAGAAACCTGTTTTTTGCAAACGAATCTCATCAAAATGAGGTGGTGACGAAAGGGTTATATGAGTTAATCAATATATGCAGTTTTTTGCAAATTTATGTTTGCAATAAGTTTTTTTTTTTTAATCCAAGTCTGGTTATAAAAAAAAATAATATTTCGAAGATGATACAAACAAAAATTATGATCATTAAACCTGATGAAACTGCACATTAGAGAAAAATAGCTTTTTTATACTTGAAATAAAAAAAGTATTGTAATATTCTTTGAAAAAATGTAAATTTTAGTAATTGTCTAAGGATCGTTTTAAAAAATTAAAACAGAATCTTTTCTTTTATGCAACTGTTTCATTGCGCATGTTGAAAAGAGATTACTGAAAAGCGTGATTCAAAATTTCCATGCCGTAAAATCATATTCCTTGTAAACAAGTAGTTCATTAATTGTTGCGTAAATTATAGAATTTATTGCCTTGTGTTCTTGAAGTTTATTCGAAGTTACCTTTTATTTCACAAATTCTTGGGAAAAAAAGTCAAAGTAAATGAGAACTTATGAAAAAAAAGAAGAGGGTGCTGGGAAATAAATGCCTTAGTAACGAGTTTTTGCGTAAGTAATGACCCTGAAATTTCAGATTATTAGCGTAACCCAGAGTAAGATTTTGTTGGAATACAAATTACTGATTCGCAAATCACTAATATTGAGATTCACAGAACTCCGTGAATTAGCAGAAGAAGCACATGCCTGTACTAGAGTCAGAAAATATTCAAATGCAATTAAATGTAAAGGAAAATAAAGATATAAAACTAACCAAAAGCTAAAAATAACAATTAATGCAACAAAGTGCATCCTTAAAACTAGTAAGAACAAATCTAGCATATAGACACAGTTAAAATTAAATAACAAAACTGATATAAACAGAAACTTACAATTGTTGCTGTTGAGGAAATTGAGGTGCAAAATTCTGTTGATTTTGAGGATTCTGTGACTGAATCTATTAAAAAGTAGCAACAGTTATAAAGGAAAATAACACAAAATATTTCATTACTAAACAAAATGATATTTAATCTACTTACAACATTACCAACACCACCAATTCTTTCATTAATAAGCTCTTTTGCATGTTCTATTTGTTGAGGTTGCCCTTTAATAACAAATACTTTTTCTTGTGAGTTAGGAGGCGGCAATGCAGAAAGTGACACATAAGCTCCAGATGTTTGGTTAATATTCTTTACAGTGTCACCACCTATTTTAAAGAAGTCAAACTCATGTGACACTTGATAAATTGCATTATTGATACATTAATATTTTAAAGAAAACACACCACAAAGCAATGATTTAAAGGAATTGTACCTTTGCCAATGACTAGACCACACTTGTTAGCAGGAACAGCATAGTGAATTTCAGGCAAATCAGGTCTATTTCTTGGATTATTACCAAAATTAGGATTGCCGTCACCTCTTCCACGTCCTCTACCTCGACCAACATTTTGTTGATCTCTGACCTACAAAAAGAATTTTGTTAACTTATGATTGCTTATTTATGAACACATTATCTTTGAATATACATATATTATATTTGAATGAACAGTAAGACTTGTAAGACAATATTTGTAAATATATAACAGAAATAAAACAATTTAACTTTAATAAATAAAATAAGATAATTAAAAAAAAATAGTAAAATTCCCAGTAGTTACACTTAATAACATTTTAAAATAAATAAGTAGACGGGATTCACCTTCTGAGGTATGTTTTTATTAAACGTCACATTAAAGTGACATTATGAAGCTATTATCAAGTCTGAAATTCACTACTAATGACGACCCAGTTTCCTGGCGGTGTAACGGCTTGGAAAATTAGATTCTATTAAAACGTTTTGAGGATAATTTAAACTAATGAGTCTTTGCAGATTTCTGGCTTTGAGGTGTGATTTGATCTATTAAAATGATCGATACTATTTAATGATGGTTAATTCAAGATTCATAACTACAATTAATTACATGTGATCTATGACAACAGCTCTTTAAAAGCGAAATTTTGTGAGCTAAGAGTTTCTCCATACAAATTAGGATGCTAATCATTGTGAAGTTAATTAAATACAGCGCTACATTGCACATTGTATTTTTTGAAATATATTTCTTTCTTGTCTACGTCTTTTACTTAACCAAGATTTATTATTTACGTATTTTATTATAGCCATGATATATTTTATTTGTGCACCTGGCAATTTTGATGCATAGTTAGTTTGTTCATGTTCCACATGGTTGATGCATGGAAGAATTGAAATCTTTGTGTAAGAATATAGAATGAGGCACCTAAGAGAATTGATACCCGATGGGCTTGACTTACTCAAAATAGAATGGAAAAAACAAAGAACAGTTGCCAATGTAAAGAAATACCACATTTTAAGAACCAACCAGAATCGAGACAACCACACTACACCACTCTCACTACGCACTCATAACTGTCAGATCATTGGAGACTTTATTAAATTGATTTTGTGAGTATATAAAAATAAACAATGAGAAGCAACTCAAAACAATTAACAACTAAAATATCTTGTCTAATATAAATAACAATATTATGGGGACAAAAATCATTCATAATTTTCTGTTAAGTTTAATTAGGATGTCTCAGTTAGAGGCAAAACAATATCACTTGACTATTAATCATTCAAATGCCAGAATATCATGGTTGATAATTGCAATTTACTTTACTTTAANGGTTTTTGACATTTTCGACATTTTTGACAGTGAGGTTTTGGACGTGACGGTTTAAACCATGGTTTAAACTGTCAAAAACTGTCACATGTCAAAAACCTGCCAACCCTGCTGTTAAGTTTAATTAGGATGTCTCAGTAAGAGGCAAAACAATATCACTTGACTATCAATCATTCAAATGCCAGAATATCATGGTTGATAATTGCAATTTACTTTATTTTAAATGTTATTACTTTACTTTAAATATTTACCTACCATTTTACTTTAAATGTTTTCCAATAGGTTACTATTAGTAAATGACAGATTATTGTTAGATTTTCGGTAGGCTGGCAAGTAAAGTGAGGTCAGCTAAAATTTAAACATTACTCTTGCCGTTTTCATACAGTCAAATATCAGAATCGTCGTTACAGTAGTAATTGGATTGAACAGAATCTAATTGCATGAATTCAATAACACAAGGTTCAAATATAAACCAGTAATTTGGTAACATCAGCTGTACTGATAAATTTATTTATCTTAGTGCTTTTACTGTGGTTTTTATTTAACTGAAAAAGTGCTCTTACAGGGGTCTTTCTAGGGCTAAATTTACTGCCGTTAAGTGGCAGTTTCACAAATTCAATTTTAAGAAAAACGGTAGTTTCGCAAAATACTTTTAACATATTTTAAAAAATATTTAAATCTTTTTGAAAGTATTTTCGTATTTTACCATATTTTTCTGTTATTTTTTTAATATAATTTTTAAATTTCACAAATTATGTCTAAATTTTCACAAAATAGGTACTTCATTATTGTTAGTCAGCACAGAATTAAAATCATTTTATTTATAAAAAAATAAACATTAATTACATAGCATTCTTTTAAGAAATTTCACAAGATCAGCTTTGATGTTCTCAAAAGCAAAAAAAAAAAAAAAAAAAAATCATATTACATTTATTATTGAAAAATTTCAAAACTGAGCATATTCCTAGGAAATGACCTAATGTGATCAAACAATAGCTTGTTGTAAATTGACACAAACATAGGAGAAAAACGTATTAATGAAAATTAAGAGCTATTGATCCTTTTGATAATTCATAATTTGAATAATTAACTATGTTTAATTCATATCAAAACAAAAATATATATAATAACAAAGCATTATTATTTATCATTCCTTTTAAATAAAAAAAATTGAGTTAATGGTTTATCAATTCAATATTTTGATTAAACTTGCAATTGGGCTTAAATTTACTAGATTATAGCTGCAAATGTGTAAATGTTTTAGTCAAATACACTGCAATAAAATTTATTTCACCTGATGTTTATTAAATCAAATATCAATAGAAAGTTTGTTAATACTAGATCAATGAAGCAATAGCTAGATGTTGTCTTGGAGGGTTCTGATCGTGTGTTATGGTAAATTACATACATACAAAAAAAAATTCTTTATAGAGATTGATTTTATTTATATTGCTATTGAGTTTTAATCTCAGTCAATTTTGAAAGCCAAAGTAACAACAATTTGCCAGCATAAAGTAGCAATTAATTTCAAATTTCGTTTAATTTAAATGGAGTTGGTAACTTTTATGAAGCTTTGGCAATCTGTCAACAATAGGGCTATATCCACTCACTTGATTAGAAAAAAAAGAATAAAAGAAAAAAACAACCATGACAGGATATCTTGTCTCCATAACTACTGTTCTATATTTTAATGCAACATCGAACACTTGAAAATAGTTGCTATGACAAGATTGATAAATATCAAAGGAATTTTAAACAATGTTTAATCTGAAAAACGTATAACTTTACTTTGGTAATCGGGGCAGCAAATAGAGGGAATGTATGTGCATGAAAGAAAACTTTAGGGATTCATTATGTTTTTTATAATAAGGAGGTTTTCTTAGACACATAATTTTATGCTAGCATTTTTTTTTTTTTTTTGCAAGTTTTATTTCAAATCACTAGGGATCAGAATTTAAAAACACCATAAAATTTTTTTTAATGCTGGAACATAGGTTTGTTCAGAATGAAAAGTTCAGACTCTAAATTGTTGGTCAAAGGCGAAATTGCATGTTTACTTCAGAAAATCTACAACTAGAGTCTCTGTCAATGTTTCTTAGCAATAGAACTTGCCAATTAATGCAAAACTTAAGCTCTCTCATTGAAGAAATTAATATTTTCTTCTATCATACACCTTTTCCAATTTCTTAATGTTTTGATTTTGCAAATAATTCCAAATATTTTTTGAGTGTCATAAACCCATAGTTGTGATACACTAAGTTAATTAGTTAGGCAGAACAATATAAAATATTAAAGCTTTGTGTCATTCTTTCTATTACAAAGTCTAACAAAAAATTTAAATTACAATAATTTATATTGGATTTGTTTTTAAAAATTATATAATTTAAATTCATAATTTTGAATAATCAAAAACAAATTTAGAGGTGTCAACTTTCCAAACTAGCTATAAGTAATCAGAAGTACAATAACACAGAAACATATAAGGTTAGCATTTTCAAAATTCAAATTAAGGCAACTTTTTTAGGTATATATGCTACTTAATTCTTTAAACGCATTATATTAATAAAATTCATTCACAAATTTACTATTTAATAAAAAAAAGTAACACTTACTTAAAAGGTACTAAGTTAAAAATTATACAGCACTGAAATTTTATATTTCATTGATAAAATTAAATTGATCACTTGGAATCAATGCTCTAGCTTTTGGTAAGAATTAGAACTAGCCTTACTGCTTTCTTTTATCATCTTCCATTTGAACCAAAAGTAACTTACACACAGCACTTCAGAATATTTTGTTGGGAGGGAGAAAGATGAGATTTATTTGTTTGTTCTCTTATTATAATCGAATTGTTTTTCTTTTAATCACAGTTTTTAAAATTGTTACGGTAGTAGAAAAAAATTATCGCAGCTTAACAAATATTCGAAAATTGTATTTCTTATAACTCAACCGTAAGACCATAATTTTGACCAGGAAACTTATTGATAAATTGAGATAGTTGGAACTTCTAAAAATTAATTTATCCTTATTAGTAGAAAATGTTCTTAAATAACAGATGGCACAATTATTTATGAACAAAATAATTAGGGCTTAAAATAAACAGTCATTAATCTAAATTATCATCGAAAAATTTAACTTGGATGACTAGAAAATTACACCCGGTAATCATTCTCCCAACTTTTAAAATACCATTGTTTCTTAAATTCCCTCCAGACTGAGTTACACAACTGCTGGGAAGTTGGGAGTAAGAACAAGCTCCAAGTATCAGCAGATGTATTTATACATCTATATAGACCTAGTTTAATAAACCACGATCAGCATTCTACAATTGATATGTGGTGGAATGATGTAAAACTTGGATGGAGCAGACAGTCAGATTTTAAAAATAAACACAATAGAAATTTTCTTGACAATTTGCAATACTTATAAATAGTTTTATCATTACATTTAGAAAGTGATTACTGATTTTAAAAAACTAAAGCTGCTAAGTTAAAAAAATACTGTTTGTGCATTTAAGTGGTTAAACTATTTTGGTATAATATAAATGTATATCAAGTTTAGGTGCTGTGCATGCACTTTCAGAATATTTATATTCTGGAAAAGTTTTTCAATACTAAGATTTAAAAAAAAAGGATAAATATTGTGGTTAAAATTTAGCAGAGCTGAACTGTTGACAGCTAAGAAAAATATTTAGATGACATTAACGCCTCTCTCTCACATTCTAATATTTAAACCTGTTTATAACACTATAAAATTCTAAAATTAGCTTCTAGAAATAGCTTTGTACACCTGGAGTATTGTGTACAACTACTAGAGTTAGCTAGATAAATATAGTTTACTAAAACTTACATTTAATCTATTACAACCCAACATAAATGAGAAAGTAACACAAATTTCAGAAAGCTTGAATTAGCCAAACTGATAATTTTAAAGACTTAATCAATAACACACAAAAAAAATTAATTTTGATTTGTGATTTTAAAGCAATAAAAAAATAAAATATTTAACACATAAAGACAATCACAAACACTGCATAAAAAGTTACATTTTTGTTACTCTTGTGACAGTATATTTTTTAAAATTCATTTCAATGCAAATATATACCAGTTTATGAAAACAAAATATAATCCTAAATGAATTTTTTTTAAAGAATAAAAACATCAAAAAAAAATTACATGATAAAAATGTAAAAGAAAAAGAACATTAAGCATAAATATTGAAATTTATAAGCTAATTATCAAACAAGACGAAAAATATGTGTGAAAATAAATTTTAACTTAAAGGGCTTACAATCTGATTATATACAATGCACGTAGGTAAAATTTCAAATTTTATTAGGATTAAATTTGATGCAAGTATAAATGCCAATCAGTAGCATTATGGCTGGTGATTATTTCGATAATAAAAAAATAATCTCCAAAACAGAATGCCATCCACAGCCATGCGAAATATAAAACACTAGGTATAACTGTCATAAGAGAAAACAAAATTAAACTTAAAACATGCATGGAAAATAACATTTGGAAAATTTTGATACAGCAAATTGTGATTAAGTAATATCATGCATAATTCATTGCCTATATTCCCATTTACTAAATTTCAATTAAACAATTTACGCTATACAGAGCAAATTAAAAAAATAAAATATTTGTTAAATATTATAAATACATATACATTTGGAAGATAGATATCAACAGTTATCCACGAAAGAGGTGATTTCTTAACCTGTTTGTCTACAAATTTTAAGAAGCAGCACAAATTCTAATCTGAATTTAGAAGAGATGTCATTTTTAAATTGTAAGAATATAAATAGCAATAACTTTTCAAACACGAGAATATGAAAACTGATGTTTTAATTAAAATGGTGTAAAAGTGTAATGTGATGAATTTAAAAAATTTAAAAAAAAAAACGTAACTACAAATTATAATATTGAGTGCTTAAACTGCGCAAATACAAATGCGTTGAGCAATCTTTAAGCCGTGTGAATAGGAATCGTGATGTCGTGTATGCATGAATCAATTATATATGTGACTTGCAAATAAGAACAAAATTGTGATGTGTAATTTACAAATTAAGTGAAAATTGATAAATAGATAGAGAATTCATATTTTAAGTTGGAACTTGCTTTAAGTTTTAAATTTGAAAGTTCTTGGTGCTTAAGGACACAGTTTTCAAAGCCTAGCAGAACCACCACTAAGCATATTTTAAAAGTAAGGAATTAACCAGTATTTATTGATTTTAACTCCTTTTCAACTGAACTGCAGGCATGTGATTAACTTTTAACTGTTGATAGAAACTGTTATATTTGTCGTTATATCTGTTACACACAATACCTAATTTAAAAAAATAATAATAAATTAGCTAATGAAATTTATTAAAAATTAAAGTGTAAATAAAATTAAGAATAATTTTAATGTAAATTATTAGAACTGCTTGATTTTCTCTAAGTATGTTATATCTTTTTAAGTTGGCAAATATAATAATGCTCCGAAATGATGGAATCACCCTAAAGTAACTTAATAGTTTAAAAGCTATGGAGTTTTATATTTCTGAAACTAAAATAAATATATATAGATAAAAAAGTAAATGGGATTATGAGGCAACCTCATGTCAAAATTTAAGGACATATGAACCGTGCTTAGGCAGTATTTTCCATACATGCATGCAGCTAGTTAAAATAAATATTCACCAGTACACTTTGGATGAGGTCACTGATAAATGAGCTTGCAGCCTGGATCTGTTCAGGAGTACCAGTGACCACACAGACTTTATCTTCAGGACCTTCCTCTTTCACATTTAGGAACTGAACTCTCGCACCAGAGTCTTGTTGTATCTTTTTAATCATATCACCACCTTTACCAATAACAACACCAACAGCTTGTTTTGGAACCATGATCTAAACATTAAAAAAATACATTAATACATGTAAAATGTGATAATGCCTGAAAGTATCAATAAGTTGTATTGCTGAAGCTGTAACGGGACAAAATAGAGCTTTTAATTGTATGTTTGCATAGATGCCAATTTGATTAAAAAAATAAGAAAAAATCAAGGGGAAAAAATCTAAACAAATATGAAAGAATTTTTTAATCAGAACAGGAGGCAAATATGGATAACATAAAACTGCCCTCTCAAGTTTAAAATTTTTCTTTCTTTCTTTCAATATACAAGGCTTGCGCCAAGAATTTCAAACTATTAGCCAGTAAATTAGCTAAATATCAAAAGTGTTTGCCAATTTTCGAAACTCTTCGCCAAATGCAAATCGTAACTACGTTTTATGATTATTCTCCCCCCCCATAGAAAACAATTTTACGTTAGTTTATTTGAGTCTGATATTATTTTGACTCAATTCTAATAGGTTATCATCACAAATTACTGTAATTGAATAAAAAAATACTGCTTAGCTTCGACAAAATAATTTTGAGGATATAGTTATAGCATATATTTTCTTTCCAATGGAAAAAAATCATTTGACAAATTTACAATTTTATCGCATTTGAAGAGGTGGCAAAGTATAGCACAGGCCCAAGCGTTAATTGTTTAGGGATGCATCCACATCTTGTAGCAGATTATTATACTTTTATTAAACAATATCTTTAAATTAGTAACCACAGCAATTATTAGGATATTCTCAACTTAGAATTTAAAATATGAGACCAAATTTTTGAAATTAACATGACAATAAAACTAAAAAAGAAAAAAAAATTAAATCAACCAGATCAAATTAAATAGGATATTGAATTTATCTTGAAAAACAACTATTGTTTACTTTATACTATTCTTAAACTCTAAAGAATATAATTTAAAATCTTATTTCTCCACTTATCCAACAATATACTCGAATAACAATTTGTCATTTTGTTCAATTTCTAACAAAATCTTAATTCATGAAATGATTCTCGAAGAGCATCTTTTACAAATCTTTTCAATAATAAAACTGTTTTAAGTATTTTAATAAAAAATGGAAAATCAAAATTTGGCAAGAATTACTTACTTCATGTGTGTTGCCTGATCTTTGACCACCTGCAGAACTACCATATTCATTAGTTCCCTCAAAACCTCTTTGTAGAGTCTAGAAATAAAAATTATGCTCAATGTTTAACCTACAAGTTGTTAAAGATCTTAATCACTGTTCTCGAAACTTACTTCTAATTCTTTTTCCGTGATAAGATCCATTACTAACTGTTTGGCATACTAAAAAGTAAAATATAATATTAAGATTTAATAACGCATTAAGTAGGTGACTTTTTTTTTCATAGTACACATTCTTAGATTGAAATATGCCAAAATATTTTAATTACTTGAAATATGCAAAAATAGTTTAATTACTTACTTCACATTTATCTGGTTCTCCGGTGATTCTTAAAGGTTTCTCTTGAGAAGTCTGCTGAGGACCATCTTGAATAAGCACCATTTTAACTGCTGCTCTTTCCTACAATAAATGAATGCACATTTTGTAAGAGAAATATTTTATAACATATCCATAAAAACAGATTAAAATTATTTTCTTCAGGGTTCGTAACCAAATCTTTCGACAAAAAATAAGCACATTTCAAGCACTCAAAGATTATTTTTAAGCACTCTAAATATTTTAACTAAATGCAAAATAATTTTCAGACTTTACATGATCATGATAAAATAACTAGTCTCTGACAAAGAACTCTTTTCTTGTTTATCTTAGCCATTATAAAATGATTAAGAGATTTTTCAATTTGATATCAGAGGGAGGAAAATGAAGCCTCAAATTGAGAATTACAAAATGCAGCAGAGTTGCATATGAGAGTGCAATAATCTCACAGATCCCAACTCTGAATATGCACATGCGGACAGATAAGAATTTTGTAACATGTAAAATTATTGGAAAATTAAGCACTTTTTAAAAACACCCAATGAAAAAAAGGGCTTTTTAAAAACCAAAAATCGAAACTAAGCACATTTAAGCACTTTTTAAAAACACTTCGCACCGTGTCCTTTAAAGGGAAAAAAAAACTTATATCAAAAATTAATTATCTCAACACAATTCAAAGATATTGGAACCCCGGTTTTACATTGTCTGTATTGTAAGTTATTTTTCTTCCTATATCGTTTTCTGCTGGTCCATGAAAATTACATATACGGATGTCAAATTATACCGGATTTTATATTACCCATGACCAAAAATCCTATTTTATACGATTTTTTAAAAAGTCAAAATAATTTTTACTTTTAAAGTTCTAAATTTTTCTCAATTTTCCTTTTTTAATAAAAAAAATACTTGCTTATTAACTGTTTGCAGCTTTTCTGACATTTCTATCCTTTTGTCTGTGAAAGCTTTTTGGGATTTTTTGCNGTTACAGAGTAAAATTAGTAAATTGTAGTATTTAAATAAGCTTTTGAATATCTGCAAAAAATTATTCATAATCAGAACAACTTTGTCAAAATTTCTGTGAACTAGGAGTTGACTGTAAGTGAGTTAAGAAAAAAACAACAATACATTTGAATAAAGGAAGGGGTACTGTGGATTTATTTCTTAGTTTTGTCGTTTAGATTGTTAAATCGATATAACCTAATATCGTGATATAAAAGGGTTGATTATATCGATTTAAGAAATTTCTATATCGTCCAGCCCTAGCGGACAGATAAGAATTTTGTAACATGTAAAATTATTGGAAAATTAAGCACTTTTTAAAAACACCCAATGAAAAGAAGGGCTTTTTAAAAACCAAAAATCGAAACTAAGCACCTTTAAGCACTTTTTAAAAACACTACGCACCGTGTCCTTTAAAGGAAAAAAAAAACTTATATCAAAAATTAATTATCTCAAGACAATTCAAAGATATTGGAACCCCGGTTTTACATTGTCTGTATTGTAAGTTATTTTCCTTCCTATATCGTTTTCTGCTGGTCCATGAAAATTACATATGCGGATGTCAAATTATACCGGATTTTACATTACCCGTGACAAAAATCCTATTTTATACGATTTTTTAAAAAGTCAAAATAATTTTTACTTTAAAGTTCTAAATTTTTCTGAAATTTCCTTTTTTAATAAAAAAAATACTTGCTTATTAACTGTTTGCAGCTTTTCTGACATTTCTATCCTTTTGTCTGTGAAAGCTTTTTGGGATTTTTTGCTTCTCAGTATCTAATGTTAATGCATTTTTGGAGATCTTTATAAGTTAATCATGAATATATCGACTACAACACGCATTCCATTATATTTCCTTCAACATCTGATTTATTGCCTGCTCTCTATGATAGTTGATGAAAACGATGAAGATGAGCAAAATTATTGGAGAATATACCCATAACTGATGAAAAATTTAAAGGCATAAAAACTCTTGAATGTATACTATAAAGCAAATTTGCAAATGCAATAAGTACTGAGAGGGAAATTGTTAAAAATTCTATCTAAAAGCAAAAAACAAAAAAAAGATTACTTTTCTTTTCCTAGTGGTTCATCTCATAAGTCTCAATTTTTGAAATATAAACTTACATTTTTTAACAACAATTTTACGTTATCCTGCACTGTGCGTTTTGTTAACAGTAGCCTAACAAAAACGCTAATTCAATCAATCTAATTCATTTAATTAAATCAAAATTTTTAACTTATCATTTTGGAAAAGATTAGAAAGAAAAAAAATTACTTGACTTCAATATGAAATATACATTATTAAAAAATTAGAAAATAATTACAAGATCTGATTCAAAAAATTTTAATAGCCAGTACCAGAACATAATTTATAAAGTTTAATTTTACCAGATTTTATACATTAATAAAAAATTATCATAGTTTAGCAATAGATTTATCAATATTCTTTTCAACATGAAAAAACATATGATTTTTACAATTAAATTAAAATTTTTAAGCTGATTAAGCCTTCATCAGAATGCAACGTAATTGTTAGCACTAAAGGTACGGACTTCAGATAGATAACTTTAGGGGTTTTTTTTTGTTTTGTTTTTTTACAGAAACTGTACATGTTATGAGAGTTTCTAGCACTGTTAAATATCACAATATCTATGCAATTATAAAAATTTTAAAGCTAGAATATTATACATAGGATTGCTATTCCCCGGATGCTTTGACACATAGGATAGCCACCAAGAAACTAATGTAAAATTATTAATGAGTCATTTCAAGCAATTTTTAGTTCGATTACTTACCTGAAGATTTCTAATAGTTTCCCCACCTTTTCCAATTACTAGGCCAACTTTTGGCCCTGGAATCATCATTTCTACAATAGAATGCCCATCAGGAACATGATTTGTATCTAATACTGGTAAAGGTGGTCCTCCTCGATTAATAATAGCTGTCATCAATTCTTTAGCCTTCCTAAAATAAAACATTTTTATCTTATACATTTTTTTACAATTCATGCATAAAATAATCTAAGTTTGATTTACATAAACAACAAATGTTTGGAGAGAACAAGGCTATGGAAAAGCATAACTTTTTTCTTAGGAGTCCATACTGCATATCAAATTTTAAACTGATTATCTTACGACAAGAAATGATTTTAAGAACTAAAAAAAATATGTTATTTGGCTACCGTAAGCAATGAAAGCCTTTAAATTCTGTAAATTTTACAGCTAAGCTATATAGAAATACAGCAAAATTAAGAAATTGCATGCCAAGAAATACTGAACAAGAATTTTTTCATTATTTTTAAGTTCTAACATTAAAAATACAATAATTGCAATTATAACAAGCTTAATAAAAAAATTACAAGTTCAAGATCTATTGAGAAATCAAATGTTACTTAGAACTTTAATGCCTTCTCTAAATTATGAATGTCTTTTGTCTTAAGTTAGCTGAATTCAATTTCTAAGCAAAAACGTTAAAATATCTCGATACTCGGTTCAGCAAGAATTAATAGCGAAAGTAAATAAAAGAAATCTGACATGTGTATTACCTTGGCTAAATGGCACCAAGGTTATGACAAATACCACATAACTGATTGGTGGACTACTAGAAAAAATTACAACTCTGCAATAAACCAGCACAAGTAAGCGAACAAGCACAACAAACTGTATGTATACTTTTATTATCAGTTCTTGCAAATCAGAGTTAAACCATCTACAACTTATCATTTGATGCAAGTTAAAATGTGACAATTTATCTTAATAAATAAAATTAATTACTAGTGAAAATTGAAACTTAATGAATATAATACTAAACCAACTTGTTTAAAAAAAAAAACAAGCATATTACATTAATGAAGCATGTCCATCAATAAGCTATTTCTAAAAATATTACTACACAAGAAAATATCAGGGGTCTGTCTAGGTTTTCTGAGAGGTAGCTAGTTTGTGAAAATTTAGACATAATGTGAAAAATTAAAAATTATAACACAAAAACATAGTAAAAATATAGATTTATCGTTTCTTAAGGATACAAAATTAAAATTTTAAGATAAAAGTATTTTGTGAAACAACAGATTTTCCTAAAGTTGAATTTGCGAAGGTACCTCTAAACGGTCGTACAGCATATACAATTAGAAAATATAACTTTGAATATGCATTTCATACAGAAGCTCATTCCTAATTATTTTACCATATAATCAGCGCCTAAAAGGACTTATAGAATATATTTTGATACCATTGAAGTGAAATTCTTATACATGAATTAAAGTATAAAAAGTCCATATAAAGATATATTCTTATATTACAACTCATGAAGATTTAATAACACTTTAACAACTATGATTAATTTATGGAGCCAACATACAAGATAACCATGTGAATAGGGAAAAAAGGTTTTGCTACCTTTTACTATGTAGTATAAATTCTTGATAATAAAGCTGGATTTAAATTTTTCAACATGTAAGGAAAAATAACAAACAATAAAATTCTTACTCAATGGATTGCCGACTACCAGTAAGTGTGCAGATTCTCTCTGGTAAACCTCCACTATCAGCAGCCATTTGAACTTTACAGCCAGAATCAGCTTGCAGTCTAGTTATCTGTTCTCCACCACGTCCAATAACTAAAATGAATGAAAAGAAAATATATATACAAGGCTGATTATTACTGATCTTCTGGACTACCAATCGTTGCAAAGGAATAGTATGTAATTTTGGTTTGACCTTTGGTTCAATGTATTGGTCTCTTTTTGTCAGCAAATAGCATCAGGGTTTACTCAACTCAATTAAAAAAATATATACATGCAGACATATAAACAGACCACGTGCAGACTAGAAATATCATTTCAATCACAATATCATTCACGATCTTTTCCCACATTTTTACTGTTGAGTAATTTGTCACACTTTGTTCAAATTTTGAATCAGTTTTGAAAGGTTCAATAATTTATCCGTTTTTTTTTAAACAATTTTTTGAAAGCAAAATTAATGGAGAAATTAAATTCTTGTAGTCATGTGCTTATGACTGAATATATAGTCAAAAAAAATTTTGGTTTTTTCACAACTTCGAATTAGTTTTAAAGTTTTAATAATTTGGTATTATTTACACTATTTCTAAAGGTTAACGAAAAATAATTTTCAACGGAACCAGTCCAAAACCAAAGATTGACAGAATTTTTTTTTAAAAATTTGTTTTTAGACTGGTTAAATTAAGGGCTTTAAATGTTGATTTTTAAATAAAATATCAATAGTTTCATTTTTCAACATTTTTCTGCCATTAAAAAAAAAATTCCAGCTGAACTTGACAATTTAACTGTATTTACTATGTAAAAATTAAAATGAATATTTTATTTTGAATTTTTTTAAAAAAATGTCCATCATTTAAGTTGTGAAAGCAAAACAAGCTTAGGTCGTACATCTGGAGGGGGGAGGAGAAAAAGACAAGCTTGTGTTTTTTTTTAAAAAAATTGCATCACATATTATAGCCATAACTATTAAATAGGAAACTTTGTTTTTTTTTTTTACAATAATGCACCATAAAAAACACTAGTGCAATATTTTTATAGTTCATACACTTCGGTATAAAAAAAATCTAAGAATCAAAAGGCAAATAGTAACCGAGTAAAAATTGCAAACACATTATGAACAGATGATAAAAACAACTTACTTAAGCCAACCATTTTATCAGGAACTTTCCATTCTTCTACAGTTATTGCATTTGCTATACCTCCAACAGATCTAAAATAAGAAAAGAAAAATGGATACTACATATAACAAATTAAAAAAGTAATAAACTGTTTGATTATAAAGATAGTGTACCTTTGAGCCTGTATAGAAGCCAACTGTTGCACAATTCCTAAAAGAGATGCATATATATATAGATATTTACATTAAAAAAAAACATTAATACAATATTACTAACACTATAAATTGCTAATATAAAAAAATAATAAACATTTACCTTTTTCATCTGAAATTGCTAATTTCTTTGTGTCTGGTAACCCAACTGAAAAAGGAAAACAAAATTATACATTTTAAAAATAAACAATATTTCTTCATAAAAAATAAACTTCCATTCAAGAAAAATATAAAAACTGAGCTAAAAACATTATCAATTATTTACAATGATACTCTTAAACAGATAGAAGAAAATTCTGAGAATAAATTTCACAACAGAATTTTTTTTAAATAATCGTTTATTCCGTTGAGCAGAAAAAAAACTACCTAGAGAAAAAGAAAGGGTCCTACTTGAAAGGTATAGCTGGTAGCCACCACATTTACATGCTTTTTTTTAAAAAAACAATTTCAAGCTTAAAATCTATTTGGCAGATTTTAAATAATACTGAAATATCCCCAAATTATATTCATCATAATTTAAAATATTAATTTTATATAAATTTACTTTCATGATTTTCCATGACTAATTCCAAGAATTTTTCATGACTTAACGAAGTTCATATTTTCTCCAACAATAAATTAAAAGCATTTATAATAACATTATTTGAAATAAGTATAACCAAAACTATTATACTCTTCATCTTTGTATTTATAGCTTTTAAACTTAAAAAAACAGAGTAAGGAAAGAGTGGAAACAATAAAATAGCTGAAAAAAAATACAAAAGCAAAAAAAAAAATTTTCTGCTGAATTATATTCTAAGGATACTTTTCTTGTTCATCAGAAAGGAAAGAAATACTCCTGATTTCTCTGTTCAATATCGAATAAAAAAATTTGCTTGGTTTGCTTCAACTCAGGGTTTGAAAAAACCCGGGGATTTTTGAAAAAACCCAACCCACCTGGGTTTTATTGAAAAAACCCGGGGAAAATTGGGTTTTATTTGAAAAAACCCGGGGAAGATTGGGTTTTTTCATTTAGTGTTCATAAATTTTACTGTGAAAATATTTTTATTTATTAAATAGAGTTGTATAAGTAAACACTAAAATTTCATCTGACTTTTACCTGTAATAAAATTAAACTGGAATAAATATTTAATGGTCTTCCATGTTTTTATAATACGATTAACAGAAAGTGAAATTAAAATTACGAATAATTATAAAGAGTATCAGTTATTTGCCCCTTTTTTCAAATATTTAGATAAATATATGCATTTTTAGATACATTTTAACTTTATAATTTCAAAAGACAAATTAATCTTAAAATTATAAAAAAAGCATATATAAAAAGTTATGGCTTATTTTTTTAAAATCAGAAAATAAAACTTTAAATTTGTTTATTGTTGTTTAATGTATCACTTAATAGAAATTTTTTTTGTTTGCTTTCAATATTTTTAAACATGATTAAAAGAAACAAAATAAATTGTATTCAAATGAAATCTTAAAAATAATATTTAAAAAATCTTAAAAGTAATATTTTAATTTTTAACTGTTTTTTAATTGTGATAAACTTTCTCCAAATAGTTAAAAATTGTCAGCAGATGTTAAGAGTTAACTTTTAAAAAAAAGTCCAATTTTTTCCTTTATTATTATTATCATACAACAGATTCAAAGTGTCTACATTTCTCTCTTAGATGGTGATACACTTTTACGAGTTTTGTAGTGCATTTTAGTGCATTTTTTTGTAGTGCATTTTGTTAAGTGCATNTTTGTTCAATACCGAAATTCATGACTTTCCAGGTGCGCGGATACCCTGTATAAATTCTAGTTCTAATATTTTTAAATAAAATATACAAGAATTTTTATACATAAATGTGATCAGTGATTTCTTGAAACTTCTGGACCTTAGATTTCGGAAATTTCCAAATAATGGTTGGCAGAGAATCCGGAAACCCGGTTTTTCCGGAGCACAATCATCTCATGTCACGTATAAGATAAAGGTAAATATCTTCAGAAATAGATTAGTAATTTTTTAAAAAAAAATTTACAATCAAATAAAAGATTAAATTTTTATAAATTAAAATAAAAGTGTTCTTACTTGTAGCTTGCACATCATCAAGGGCACGTTTTGTGCCAGTTGTTTCTACTCCTGAATGTATTTTGGCAGCAATCTGAACAGCAATAAATAATAAATATTGTTATTACATTAGTTCATTTTACTACACTGTTAATTTTTAACACAAATAACAGTGTAAAAACAAGAATGAAAATTTAAACTTAGATTTATCAATAAATGGGTAATTAGGCAGTTTTCAGCACTTCCCATTTCAACTGGGTCTAACCAATTCTAATTGGTATCAGCCTAATTATCCATAACGCTTACAACATTAGTGAGTTAAAACAATGCTAGTAGTTCAAGAGCAAAGTCAAATCAAATTGTGTTGGCATAGCAATGCAATCAACAAATAATATTTTAACTTAATATTAACGACTCACTGATGTTGATGTTTTCCTTATTTTGAAATATAAGAATATTCCTGAACCTTTCAAGCTTCCGCAAAATCTTGGCTTTTAACGTGCAATTAAAAATATATTACTCATGAACTTTTAGAAAAACAGTAACTATTAATAATATATGGCCATTAATGACTGTTCACAAAAGTTTTTTTTTTTTTTTAGCAAGCAAAAGTGACATCCGAGCTTACGTTTTAAAAATCTCTCGCCGATAATCTAGCGATATTTAACATGCTAATTAATATCAAGGTCATAGTTCATCATGAATCGCAACTTAGATTTAAAAATTTTAAGAGTCAGTTGTAATGTCACTAAACTGCTATTCTTGATTTAAAGCATCCAAGAATATTGTTTTAGTGACTATTTTCTTAAGAACATTATGAGATCACCAAGCAAAGATGCAAATTAAGATTTGTGTATTATCTTCATTCGATCAGACAAACTAAGAAATTGTCTTACCTGACGTGCTCGCTGAACTGCATCAGCAAAAGCTGAATTGGTATCATAATTTTGAGAAGAAACTGAATTAAAATCACTCATTTTGAATAATTTTAATATTGCAAATGGCGACAATTAAATTGATTATTACGGATTACAGCATGGGAAAGAAAAGCCGCTAAGGTTGCAATTACGGTTGCGGTCAACAATTCTTATTCTTCTTACATTGGGCTGCTTGTGCCAGTCTGAATCTTTAAAATAAAATAAAAATTTTGATTTTTTGTTGGCAAATATCAGTTTTGGCAACCAAAGTTGTGGTTTTGTTTTCATTATGTCATTTTGTTTAGATTTACTTACATCTATTGTGATGCGTTAAGCATCAAATTTTAATAGTAAGTTTATTTGAATAATATTTTACTGTCAAGTGTTTAGTTTCGTTGTATTTTTGCAAAATATCAATATTTCTAAGAATTAAAACGTTTTGTATTAGTTCATTTTGGTTTATACAAATCAATGCATTCAGTTATTACTTTCACCTTTAATCAAGGTTAATAGATAGATATGAAATTTTAATTGTTTAGAAATTGAAATGCATATTTATATCAATCATTTTAAATTTAATAGTGTTTTGTCTTTTGAAATTGCTTATCTGTTATTAAAAATACTGAAGTGTTATTCGTTTTAGATGTTATCACCAAAGCTTGTTTTTCTTAATGTAAAGTTTAAATTTGAACATATTTTTCTATATTTATATACAAATTATATTTTAATGCTTTTTAATTATCTCTAGTCTTTTAAAATTATTTTTTATTAGTTATTATGCGATGGGGAGATGATTACGTACTTATCTCCCATTCGCGGAGTATTTAAAAAATTGTATATTGTGTTAGCAACTGATAAGAATCATTATTTTATGTGACTTTTAAATTAACTTGTTTTTATGACGCTATATTACAAATATGACGCTATGTTACATATATAACCAAGAGCATTTTAAATCAGACGCTATATTGCATCTGATTTAAAATGTTCTTTGTTAGTTTGACAGTTGTTGCTTTTAACGAACAATTTGATTTCCTAATATACTGTCTATACTCTTGTGTTATAAATATTGATTTTTAGTATTAAACTTCTTTCATCATCTTATTATCGATTTTATTTCTTATTAAACTGCAATCTTATATTCATTGTCTGACTATAAATTTTCATAAAGTTAATAGTTACACAACAACTTTTAATCATCAACTATAAACTTTAGTTTATCATTTTATAGTATTCAGCTGTAAGCTTTTATTCCATCTGATTATTATTTTAATAGAGATTTTTTTTTTGTTAGAAAATATTCTAATTTTAAACCTTTCAGATGGGTAACATGCAATGGTCTATTTTTTATCCAAAAATATTTTATACATAACTACTACAGTGCAACCTCGAAAATCCGGACTGCTGGGGGGGTTTTTAAGGTCCGGATTTTAGATACCTTACTTGAATTGATAGAATTATCGAAGTTTCGAATTCGCCAGGCCGATTTCGCGATTAATCACGCGTGTGTAGACCTCCGACATCAATTTTAACATAAATATACTCTTTAAATAATAAATAAATGACATTAAAAATCAAGCTTTCGCCATTTCCCCCCAGCAATCGACGATAACATAATATTAGCAATTAAAACTAGAAGTATAGGCTTAAAGCGCGAGCTGAATTTCAACTTATAACCGAAAAAGTTGCTTCTAGACTAGACTGTACCAGCTGATACTAATCCTTTTTTTGTTGGGGGATGAAAGAACTTGTCCCCGCCTCCTAAGTTTCAAGGTTAAGAAAGAACCAGTTTTCTTTCATCACAAGGGGGAAAAACAAGGAGATGGAAGAATTCCTCCTTCTGAGGGGATTCCCCTTCAGGAGGAGGGGGATTCCCCTTTAAATTCTTTGTTATCCATACAGAGCTGATAAGAATGACTGGAATTTCCTTATCAGCTATGAGCTTTCATTCACACCCCACCTCTACCTCTTCATCAACTGCTTCATTGTTGGAGAAGAGTTGTGGTTTTGCATTAAAATTTTTATTTGAAACAATTTTGTTAAAATTGTTTCTTTTGAAATTTTTTTCTGAGGAACTGGACGTATGAGTCCGGATTTTAGAGATTTCCGGATTTCAGAAGTCCGGATTTTCGAGGTCGTACTGTATAATAAATTTATAACTAATATCTTAAAAGTTATTACAGGATATCTCCATATGAATACTTGTTTATGTAACTACAATTGCCAAGATGCTAAAAGATTTTGAACTTGCGTTAAATTTCGAAGAACCAGTTAAACCTTTCAAGTTAATCCCATTTTGTGATGAATTTTTAGTTACCTATAAATTTAGCAATTATTTTAGCTCAAGTACTAACGTAAAATGTTCAGAATTAAACCTACACAAAAATTATGTACCAAACAAAATCTGTTTCATCCTTATTCAAAGTGTCCTGCTATTCTATAAACAAAAAATTTTTTGAATTGTACTCAATTCCAGAATTTTTCCGTCTTATAAAGTATGTAGTGTTAAAAGACATAAAACTGGCCCTAATATTGACATAAAAATCCGAAATAATGATAGCCCTAAATCTGTTTGTAAAATTAAAAAAATAAACAGAGACTGCAAGACAAATCGATTTTTTTCCTGCATGAGCATGACCTCCAAAGAGATAGAGTAAAATATTTTTAGAATAATTGGTAGCTGCTTTTTAAAAGCTTCTTTTAAAATTGTTCAAAATGTGTTATAAATATTTTAATAAGTAAATATTTTACTATTTCAGTTGAAGAACATTTAAGATGTTTGATATGTTTCAAATCTTTGGAAAAAAGAAATCTAACACTGAAAATGAAAAAGATAAAAATTCAGATGACTTTGTTATGCTAGGACATAGTGAACAACCGGAACAAAATCCTGGTGAACGACCACTGCCCGTAAGTGGATGTTTCGTTTGGAAAAATTACTTCACTACGTCTCTATTATGATTCGTTTTTAATTTCCTTTAATATTAGTTTTTCTGAAAACTGTTATTTATAGAAACAATTAATTCTGATAGTACTAATGGGAATGTATTTATATTGTTATAATTAACGCATGCTAATTTTCGGTTACCAGTCTTGATCTGAATTTTTTTCTACTTTATTTCACATATCAGGTGTTATTTATATGTATGTCGTGTTATTTATATATTTGACATGTTACTGAGGTATTATTTATATGCATTGAATTAATAAGCTATCCTGATAATTTAATACTTTCTTATGGCACTATCTGCTTTTAGCAACTAGTTGTCATCACTTACCTCTTCGTTTCTAACTGTATGTTTGGTAGCAGAACTATCTGAGTATATCTGCAGCGCTATCTTCATAAGTTCATATTAGTCCAAAATTCAAATGTAGTCTTTCAAAGTCTATTATTGTCATAAGTAGGCTTTATCTAGCATGTATAAAGCAAAATTTTTTTATATTAGGCTATAAAAAGTATATAAAAAAAGTTTGTTAAAAATTTATATTACTTTAATTAGGAATTTATACAATACTACTTTGGAAAAAAATAGAATAAATCCCAATTCATCTTGAAACCTAATAAAAAAAAGTTTTTTAATTAAAAAATAATGTATTTTATGTATTTTTTTTAAATATTGTAGATAATTTTTTACAATTTGTTTCGTTAAATTACAATTTAAGTAAATAATTTTAAAATCAATTCTCGTTAGCTAAATATTTGCACATTATTTTTTAATTTTAGATTATATAAGTTTTCTAATAGTTCAGAAAATATTATATGTGCAAAGTATATAGCAATTCTTATGACAATTCATTTCCTATGTCAGATTTTAAAAAGAAAAAATTGTTATGAGGAGGATAGAAAAATATTTTTCTTACCTTTTCTCTTTAATTTTTTTTTTCTTTCTCTCTCTCAACAATTTTTTATCCTTCTCTCTACCTCCCCCACACTTCTTTCTAAAATCCAAGACTCAAAACAATCTGCAGCTGTGATTTGCATTGCTCGAAGGTTTTTAACTACCAGGAATATATGGTATAACATTTTATTAATAATTTCAATAATTATTTGACTTCATGAGCAACTATGCTAGATTATTAATTTTTACTCAAAATATTGAATGAGCCCCCAATACTTTTGAGGATTAAAATTTCATTTCTAAATCATGATCTTCCAAGCCTGAATTCATACGCAAGTTAAAAAAATTGTAAATAATAATGACAACAGAGATTCCCAGAATCAGATTTAAATATATAAAAATTCTAATTTTTTCATATGAATCATAAGTGCCAAATCAAAGTAAGAGGAGGCAAATCTTTTTTAATTTGGCAACAAAATAACTACTGATATTCATCTCAATCTATTTTATGCTTTACAACAGAAATGTAATTATTCATCTGCAATTACTTATGACTCAAGACATTTACGGTATTAAAGAGAAATATATATATATAAAGTCTTGCCAGGAAAATAAGTTTTCAAAATGTGACCTAGTTTTTGTAGTGCCAATATAAAGTTAAGAAATTGTCATGTTACTTGCATATTGTTATTTCTGTATTAAGTAAAAAATATATACAACATGCCATATCAAGATATAAACAAGTACTGTTAGGATAAGGAGAAAAGTAGGATTAAATTGTTTAGTCTAAGATAGATTGAAATCAGATTTCTCCAGAATTAAAAATATTGGCCTTTTAATTTGTTGTATCTTAATGTATTAATTATTTTATCTAATGAGAACGTATGGAGCAAAAATAATGGACAGTGTCAAATTGTTTTAAGAGCATCAAATGTTTACTTAGCTGAAAATAAGGTTAAGTATCTTGGTTATTAATTAGTGCTGTGTATTTATGTCAAAATTTGGATCAGATTGGTGTATAAACCATTTGTAGGCATAGTATAACCAATTCAGACTTGAGAGACTTATTTAATTTAATAAATCGATCTACATAAGTGTCATACTATTTTAGATCAAGGTTTTGTATGGCTTATATAAACAAATGTAAGAAAAAGTGACTGTCATTTACTGCATGCAATTATAAAATTTAAAAAAAAATCTTTATTTAACCATTCACATGCATAAATTTTTCTCTTTCGTTCCTAGAAAAACCCCAATACTGCTCGATTTCTGCCAGACAATTTCACACCGACTCCTATTATCAAAAAAGAAGAAAAGCATCATCCAATCATGCCTCTTCAAGATGTACCCTTTACTATAAATTCAAGCCTGTATGCTTCATCGAAGTTGGATCAAATCTGGAAAAGTGTTTCCCAAAGTATAGGAAGCATTGGAAATTCATGTCCATATCAAGAAGACTATGATTTTGCTTTGGAAAAGTCAGTTATAGCAGAAACATGTAACAAATAATGATCAATAATAAGTGGCATATTCAATCTTGTGTCATTTTTTTTCTTTTGTATATTTTTAATTCTTTTAATAAAGTGCTATGTGTAAATAAATAAATTTTTGCATCACTTACTTAAAGACTTATATGAGTTAATATATATTAAGAAAACATTTCTTTTTAGCACTAATCTCTACAAGGAAACTTTTAACTAGGTATAGATGACTTACATTTAAAATCTATTTTTTTCTATTAAGATATTACAGATATATTGTAATTGATGTTTGCTATTTAGCCAGATGCCCATTTTATGCTGCTAACTTATTGCATTGCTGTTTACTAGTCTTATGTAACGGAAATGTGAAGTTAAATAACTCCACTGGTTGTGCAGACATTAACTGTAGCTATTTTAAGAAATAAAATTAGTTAATAGTCTTCAAACAAACAATACTAATAATTTCAATCAGTGGCTGGCTGGCCTTTCCCACTTGTTACTATATTTCCAGAAGCCACATTATATACAAAATTGTAATTAGTTATAGTGAATCAGTTTTTCAATAAATTTTGATAATTTGGTTAATTGATTAGTGAGCACCTTATAGCTGTGTTAAACAGGTTTAGAAACAATTCAAGGTAAATTACCATTGACTCATTTGAAATTAATGGGATGCCGGAAAGAAAAGATGTAATGAACAGGTATATCATCCAGTCGTGATGAGTCTGTCAAACATTAACAATATCTCATATTTAAAAATTAATAAAAAAACTCGCAACTTTTTATTCTTAAATTTTTTTTAAGTGTCTTTCTAAGCTGAAGAAAAAAGTAAATATAACAGGTCAAATTTTTATTTTGATTCCTTTAACTTAATTCTCCTAAAATTTCATCATGTTTAAATGGAAAACAATTTTTTTCCTTTAAAAACTCCATCAAATGTCATTTTTTACACAATTATAATTCAAAGAAAATTGTCATCTTTTTTTATCAAAAAATTAATAAGTTTTAAAACTACTACTTCATACAGATTTAATTTCTAGTTTTGTGTTTGATTGGAACACAAATTTTCATAGTTTTTCCTCTTTTTATTGTTTTTAATAACTCTGATTTTCACTATGTCAAGAATTTCAAATGATTATTTTCCCTTTTAAATAAAACACACTTTTAAAACTGTTTAAGAAGTTTTTGGTAAACATAGACAACCTATGAGAAGAAAATCAGTCCAAAATTTGTTTTATGTATCAATATGCATTTTTAGGTACCTCCTTTGTACTTAAATCAAGTAAAATAGCTAGTTATAAATTGTTATTATTTGACCACAATAGTTTTGACTATTAATAGACAACTAATTGATAAATAATAATTTTAACTATTGATTCAGTTAGTTTAAAATATATGGGTGAAAATATTATGTTGAAGTTGATAAAATAGTTCGTTGCTCCACTTCATCAAAAAATAATTTAAAATTTGTGTCTTTGAATAAATAATGTAATTTTAACTACAAGATTTTAATAAACAATATATATATATTTTTACTGAGATTTTTCTTCTGATCACCAATCCCTGTGATTGATTCACAATCAACGTAGTTCCTTTTCTAGAAACATAAATTGCACCCAAAAAAATATATACCTATTCCCTTGAATATATTTTATTCTACTACCCATCATTACCTTCAATTTTCCTATTACCTATTGTTACCCATCGCTATTAACATGATTTTTTGTTAGGTAATGCAATTTGGGAAATAATAAATATCCTTAGCAATTTTTTGTTAGTTGCATAAAAAGTAACAATTTTACTTTGGCAATATTATGCCAACTAATACCTTTATTTTTATCTTTTAACTTCAAATTAGAGAAAGCGTATAAAAAAAGAATCTTGAGGAGTTAATAAATTCCCATTTTTGCTTGCAACTAAGGATGTAGGGTCAAAATTTAGAGAAAAAAACCACTTATAAAATGCAAAAAGTTTGGAATTATAAAGAAAACTTGATGTCAAATTCATCAACAAAATAGGCTCTTTCAGCAAAATTTTTAAATATGTATAATAATATTTAACTAGACTGCAGAGCAACCGAATGGTATATTTTTACAATTTCGGCAGTTCTTAATAATCAATATTATTCTTGCACTAAATATTGAATCTTATTTCATTGTATTTCCTAGACATTTTTCCAGGGTGCATAGCCAGATCTCTCAACAAAAAATAAGCACCTTTTAAACACTATATACATTAACAAAATGCAAAATAATTTTCCAAGACTTTACATGATCATAATGGAATATCTAGTTTTTGACAAAGAACTCTTTCTTGATTATATATTAGCCATCATAAAATGATCGAGAGATTTTTCAGTTTGATTTCTGAGGGTGAAAAATGAAGCCTGAAACTTAGAATATGAAGCAGAGTTGCACATGAGAGTACAAAAATCCCTTCCTCACTGAAACCAGCTCAGTATACACACATACAGACCTGCAAATATATTTCATCAAACATAATGATTAGCGCTTTCATACGCTATGCACCGACGATACGCCCAGATGCATTGTGTTTGAATGAATTGTGAAAATTTTGAATAGAACAATGTGGAAACCATGCTTTTGCATAATACATGGCAAAAACCATATTGTAAAGAAAAAATCTCAAGATAAAATTAAGCACTTTTTAAAAACACCCAATAAGGACTTTTTAAACCCCTTTTAAGGCTTTTAAAAACGAAAATCAAAAATAAGCACTTTTTGAAAATGCTTTGCACCATGTTTTCTGTCCTTTCAGGTCTTCTACCTCTGCTGCGACTTTTTCTGTTTCTAGAAATTAGTCGCTATGCAGTTCTCAATGATGGTCTTCCCAACTTCTTCTAAGTATTAGCCAATAAATTTTTAAGAAGCACTTTTAACTTTTTTGTTTTATAAAAATTTTTTTAAAATAGGATGAAAGTAAAAAGTTTTATGTACTGTACTGAACATTAAAACTCAGTATAATGGAAAATTTAGTCATTTCTTTTATAGTGGTTGAGCTAAATGTATCACAACTAAGTTATAATTAAAAAATTCAAATACATTTTAAAAATATTATTTTTATTTATGGTACAGCCACTGAACAACAATTCCACATAAAAGCAGAAACAAATTTTCAGAAAACATCATAATATAAGACTATAGATTAATGACAGATAAAAGGATTAATATAATGAATTCATGCATTCGAGATCAGCAGGAGACATATAAATGATCAGTAACATAAACATTAAATAAAATAGTTATGCTGAAAATTTAAATGCACTATTCTGTTTTTCTTTCTCAGAAATATTTAAGGAACAGATCTTTTTTCATTGTTGCTTAAAGAAACTTGTTAATGAAGCTTGCTTTCGGTACGAAAAGGTGTTTTGCTTAGGTTCTTCTTTACTAACGCTCTTCTTTTTTGGTAAAGGATCCTCATCACTATCTGATCCAGATACAAGTACTTTTTCTTGCTTTGCAACTGCAGTGAAGTAAATATATATAAATAAAAAATCTGTGATGTATAATTAAAAAAGATAATAATAAACATAAATACAGTGTTACATCGGTTTCCCGATTTAGAACTAGCAATTTGTACACTTACTTATCCTTGTTAGGGTGCAACACATTGGAATTTCTGAGTATGCAATTGCCTGCACCTGTCTGTCGGCGTCTTTGATTGACACTTTAGATGTTTTGAGTATTAGGTATTAATTGCAGCACGCACCTCCCTTAGCACATTTAAAACTGAATTAATGACAGTGCCTCAATCAGATACCTTTCAGCTGTGATGATGGAGAAGAAGCTTAATTTATCGGCAAGGGGCTGAACCAACATCCAAATTTACCATCTATAGTTGGGCTTCTCCAAATTGGAGCATATAGTCCCTTTCTCATCCATCATCGCAGCCGAAGGATGTCTGTTCGAAGCGCGGTGTCATCAATTAAGTTTTAGAAGTGCCAAAAGAGATTCATGCTGCAACTAAACCCAAACAGTCACATGTTGATCAGAGGTCGATAGACAGGTGCAGGCGATTGCATACCAGAAATTTTAATATGTTGCACCCTAAAGAAGGAAAGTCTACAAATTGTTAGTTGTAAATTGGTGACCCTATGTCACATACAGGCTTTGAATTTAATTTTTAAAAAAAGAGGTTAAAGAATAGATAAAAAAGGCTAGATTAAATTTCCAATGTAAATTTATATATGTACATACATATATAATACAATTCTCAGTGCTATAAATGTTGTGCTGTATAGTAGACCATTTTTTTAAAAAAATGAACTGAATATAAAATCTAGTTAAACAATAAGGATACTTTCTAGCATAGATACATTTGATTCATAAGTTAGCTTAAAGACATTGATAATAATAAATTAATATCAATATTGATTTGTATTTTAGTTAATTCAATTTGCCAGCCTTAATAATTCTCTAAACAACCCCAGTTGAAAAAAGTAATAATTGAAACAACTCATATTCTTATGGGCAAAATATGAATAATTTTTTTAAAAAATGCTATTACTGTAGCATATTGCTCACACCACATTTTGTCTAAAAATTAGTCAGGGTGGCCCCACTCCAGATAAAAGTAAATTACCCGAGAATTTCAGAGAAAAATTTAAATAATGTTCCACATTTACAAGATCTAAATTAGTTCAATTTTAAAAATTTTCATACATTTATAAGAAAAAATATTTATATACATCACATTTAGCAGAAAAAGTTTTTCTTGATTAAAAAAAATTTACACTATTTCAGGCTTTACACTTTTAAAGTCTTTTAGTTTTATCCCTATAAAAAGAAATAAATAAAAATTATCTTTAACTATTAAAGCTAACGATGAATATGAATTGATTTTCAAGAATAAAATGTTTGACACTCTAATTGTTTACAACGTCTAATTTTAACCCAAGAAACCTTTGTTTAATAGAAAGTCAAAATAATACATAATATTTAACAGAACTGAATTATTTATTAAAATAGCGATGAGGACAATTAATTATATCATATAGCTAGATAAGTTTTTATAAATTAATTAACAGTTAATAATTGCAGTGCATAAAAAATAGATGGAAAAAAGAACCAGCAGTAATATGTGATCATAGGTACAAAACTGTTTCTAGCATATATTTTAAAAATTTCCTGAGGAAATTGCAAATTCTCCCGTTTATTCTAGGTTTTCCAATGGTATTTTAAAATTATCTAAGATTTTCCCTGACTTCAGGGAGAGTGGCCACCTTATCAGCCTGCTAGGTTAAAACTAGATAAGTAAATAATCAAAAGTTATGTGTAGCATTTTACAGGAGTATGGTTCAAACAAAAGAATTGTGAAGGAAAAAAATTGCATTTAAAATATTTCAATTAAATTATCAACTGAATTTACCTAAAAAGCCATCTTCATCTTGGTAAGTTTTTTGCACAGATTTCCAAACCTTCGCTCTCCCTTTATTGGGCAAAACTGGGGGTGTGGGTGGTATTGGTTCCTCACTATCACTTAAAGCCATAGGTACATCGTCATTATCTGTCGCAGTCATTAAACGCTGAGCTCTGTCTTGCTCTTCTGTTAAAGAGAACTAGTTATAAACTATATTGCTACTCATTAATAAAAAGTTTCTTAATTCACAGTAATTTTGAAATTAATATTTTAAAAATGCAATAAATAGACATTAAAAGAAATTATCAGTGAATTACATAATTTTTTTAATTTTTCCTTTAATACTAAAGTTAATGTATTTAATTATTGTTAATGTATTGATAATGTATGATTTTACCCGTTGCTCTCTTGCAAGCATTTCACTCCAGCTTTTAATTAGAATATATAAATTTCATTTAAGAATCGACATATTCTCCAATTATGTGCAGGAAACAATCTCCATTAAAAGACCACTATTTTTAATATTTTTATTCTTTAATTACTTCTTATAATAATTAGTTTTTGTTCAAACTACATTAATAAATTCATGATTTAAGTTTTTTTTAAAAAAAAACAATGGTTTAACACAATTTCGGAATGAGAAACAAAATTTTCCTTATAATCATTTTTAACATTTATTGAGATATTTCATTCATATATCATTTATTAAAATATTTCATGCAGAATCAGCGATAAACTTTGAAAACAGTTATTTCATGAAATAAAGAAAAAAAAGAAAAGGAAGCAAATTAACAGAAATCAGGTATAAGTATGAAATCAGTTTTCTCACATGTGATAAATAATGAAAAGGTAAATAATGTGAAAACTACGTTAACTTAAATTTTATTTGATTTTTATGTGAATCTAGAGTTAACTTGCTGTTATAGAAATCTTCAAATACTAAGTTTCATCTATCATTTTCATTATATGCAGCGGAATTTATTAAAGAAGAAGCTGCTTACTCAGTGAGGATTGAATTAACTTTTGGATGTGGTAATAAATTTTATTTTAAGCATTATTTATAATATTGAGCATAGCTGCATCACTGTACACAGAATTGTAGTGATTGCTTTTTAGATTTTATTTGGTTCCTATATAATTTTCTGTTTAACAACAAAAGAATGTAAAAATAAGTAAATAAAAAAATACCTTCATTTTCACTTTCGGAATCTGAGTCATCCATTGTACATATTCTGCGATGCTTCTTTTTCTTTGGTTTCACATCTTCCTCTGTAAATCATTGTTATTAATAAAATTTTAGAATAGTGTTTATAAATGTTAGATAAACTGAAAACTGTAAAAGGACTTACCAGAATCATTATCACTAACTGGTTTTGATGATCGTTTAGTCTTTCTGGAAAATAAAACATAAATCAAAAGTTATGAAAAATAATATTGTTTTTTAAAACACCCATAATTAAAAACAACACTGGCGTAACTAAAAATTCTTTTCTTTTTATTTCCAATGAGCTGCGCAATCGGTCTTGCCGATGAGCAGACCTAGTGCGTTCTCCAGAGATGGTATCCACTCTTTCAGTGACCACCACAATGGGTGAGATACCGTTGGTCATGTTAATTTGGATGTCTAGTTTCTGCCACACTAAATGGCAGCACCGACACTCTATTTGGATGCTAAAGTGCACCAGGAATTTAATTTTGCCGGAAATGCCAAGAGCCAATAAGGCACTCCAGGGATCTTTTACATGCCGCATAATCATACGACATGGCCGCTGAGGATTTTCTGCATCCCGAAAATCCGGTGTCTGGGCCGGGGATCGAACCCGCAGACTTGGGCTCAGAAGGCCGACGACAAACCAACTGCGCCACCCAGCCTAACTAACATTCACATGCAAATTGTAACTTTCACTCCTTTTATCTAATTTTAGGAAATTCTCATTGATATCTGAGTTGAAATACTATCAGGGATATAAGTAAGAATAAATTTCTCACTGCTTTCTAGCAAAATATAAATAATTACAACTAACATAAAATTAATTATCTTATTAATTTCAATTTCTAAATATTATATATATAAAGAAAATGCAAATTAATACAAAATACCTGATTAAATATCCCCCCTCCCCAAAAAAAATTAAAAAACAAGAGACAAAACAACAGAATGCACGCATACACCAATCACAATATAAATAAAAATTGGAAAGTACTGATAGCTACAGGGGGACATAACTATGCTGTCATTTGTAGGTTGGCCTACAACCTATATTACAAACAACCCTAAGCCTCACCCTCTATCGTTTCACTTGGAGTTTCTTTTCAAGGACCCTAACACGGAATTCAATCAGAGGATTTTTCGGGAGCTCTGATTTTTTTCCAACAAAATTCAAGAACTCTCAAGGTTTTTCAAGTACCGTGGGAACCCTGTTAGAGGTTCAGTGCTGTTTTAACTAGAAATTAAGTATTCAATATTTTTAATTCAATTTTGCTCTGCTTTATACACACATAGTATAAAATGCTTTAACAAATCTTTTAATATTACTTCTTAGCGTAAATTCCTTCTTAATTCATCATTTAGAACAAAACCCATTCACATAATAAGTTTCTACCCTAAAAAAATAAGAATTCCATTTGGGGAAAACTCTTAACAATATTATACTGGCCTATAATAATTGTTGAATTATCCTTCATAGCACACGTGATCAGGAAGACCTACAAAATTTTCCTATCAAAATCCCTAACATATAAAATTAAGCCCATAGTTTTCAATGAAGATTGAATGCTCATTCTATGATTGGAAATGACTGAATAAAAGACATATTTTCAGTCAGAAGCATGCATTATTCCAAAGTTTTGCCAGCCCATTCTATTTTATACTATAAACACACACATATATATATATAGACACACTTGTATGCATGTGTGTGTATATACAAATATATTTGCAACAATATTTTTCATTCAAATATTAAATTTAATGAAAAGGCTTATTACAATTCGGTACTTGAATGTGTTTATATCTTTATTAAATACAATATAGTATTTTTCCTAGTTTTTTTAATTTTATATAATTTGAATCTGTGTAACTTAAATTACGTTAAATTGAAGAAACTGATATTTTTTATTTTATGATCATTTTAAATAGAGGCAGCATTTTGTTTTCAAGTTTTTTACCAAAACAGCCTACACACATTCTTTCAATACTTGATACAATGCATAATACTAACAAAACATTTCTATGAATTACTCAAAAATTATGTCAGAGCATTTTTTCTGAAACAGTGAGTTCTTAAATGAATGATTCTAATAGATTTTCCTGGTTTATAAGTATCTTTATATTTATTCTTAGAGTGGGCTACTTCCCTGACATAAAGCTTTTGGAACATTTTTCAAAATGATCTGGCTGTACAGTAAAAAAAAGTTGTTTAATTATTTTTTTAAAGTGAAAATATTCCATTTTACTTTCTTTTTTTTTTTCGATAAACAAACTACTAGCTTCAGTACAAAGTATTTTCCAATGCTCTAGCAGCTGTATTTTTTTAAACTTCTTTTTTAAACTTTTTAATCAAAATGAAAATTTACAATATGTATTAAAAAATTGAAAATCTGATTGGTGCATTTAAATCAAAAAGGGTCAAATCATATCCAGTAAGACAGTACTTTAAGTTTTTTAAACTTATCAACTTCTTTAATGTTTTAAATTGTGTCTGTTATAGTTTGTTTTTCTGAGAGACATTTTTAAATTATCGATAAATGAAATATTACTAAATAAAGAATTATGATGTCCCATGGAAACTAAGAACTGAATTGTTTGAAAAGTAGTCATTTGTTAAATAATTGTTTACATTTCATAATTCAGAGAAATTTGAAGTGGGCACCATTGACCCAAGGTTGTTTATCTCACTCAATATCAGTTACATAATTAAAATAAATAATTCAATATCATACCGTTGAGAAGTTTTGGATTTGGATTTATTCTTCACGACAGCAAGTTTTTCAAACTCTTTTTCTACGTTGGAAGGCACATTATTGTTGTTAGTTTTCTCCAAGGTTGGAATAGCATCAGGCAGTTTTTTAATAGGATTGGCTGCATTCCTTTCTAAAAAATTTAAAGCATAAGAATGTTTCCAAAATAACAAGTGGTAGTGTCTATTGTGAATAAAAAAAATTTTTAAACCTTTTTCATAACCAAAAAAATAAAAAACTTAAATTAAGCCTCAAGCAGTGTTTTCATCATAGAAAAANAAACCTTTTTCATAACCAAAAAAATAAAAAACTTAAATTAAGCCTCAAGAAAACATTATTTTAGTAGATAATTTCAGAAAGACAATTTAAAATATAAATTTAAAATAAACAACCAAATAAGGTTTTAATTCTTATTTCCATAGTTATTGATATAATAATGCAATTCTATACAACAGATATCATCCTGATTTCAATCCGAATTGTAAATTTTTATTTTGACAATTATTTTTTTCGTTCAAGATAAATAATATTTCTATCTAGAAAATTTCATTAAAGTTTAGATTTATTATTAGGGGAAATGCATTTTTAATGGAAAAAAAAGTTAAATTTAAGACATTAATAGAAAATTTAGAAATTGGTAACAGTATCTTTTGCAAATGTACTTCTAATTTACATAGTTGCCGACCTGTTAAAAACAAAAATAGGAACATAAAGCATGATAAGCCAATCAGAGGGAATAGTGACCGAAGCAAAAAATCCTAAAACTTATATGCGTAACAAATCGATATCACAATATCAATTCATAAACCATGCATGTTTCATATCTAACATAATTTTTTGAATAGACATTTTTAATTAAATTACTTACTTTTAAAGAATATCACACATTTATAGTAACTAATTCAAGAAAAAACTTACTTCTTACAAGAATAGCAATATTGGATTGTAAAATTGCGTGAATATGAATCGTGATGTTGGATTTTAAAACGCAAAAAGGCAATATTGAAAACGCAATATTGAATTTTTAAATCATGTAAATAAGAATCAAGATGCATTATCCTCAGATCGCTTTAATATGAATCGCAATGCTTAGTTTTTAAATCACGTATAAATACAAAAAATGATGTTTAATATTAAAACTAAGTAAATACAAATTGCAATATTGAATTTTAAAAATGCTTAAATAGGAATCGCTATGTACGAATTTTTAATCGTATGAATATGAATTGCAATGCTTACATTTTATATCAGGTAAATACAAAAATTGATGGTTGATAATAAATAATCAACTATAATATTAAATAGTTCCAAATATTCAAAATGGCAAAAAATCACATGCATGTAAATGTCTCGTTAACAGGATTATCAAAGGTTTCAAAATTTCCTTGGATTATAAGTACGAGACCAATTGTCTTGAGATCCTGCGATAAAAACATAATGTGACATTCTGCAGTATTCGTGGAAAAATTACATGCCCTACTTCCAGTATAAGGAGTGAAAAGGTGCTAAAATACAGAGAAATTAGAAAATTTTCACCTAAAATCATATTTTTGGAACAAAACTACAAAATCCGGACAAATATTATTTAATAAGAACAGTTGGCAGCTATGAATTTATTAACTTTTTATTTTAAAAAAAATAGTAAATCTTATATTACAAAACATAAACTATTTGGACATCGGAACAGCCAGCAAGATATGACAAGGATATTTAAACAAACAGATAAGAAGTTTTGTTAACTCTATTTAGAAAAAAAATATTTTAATCAATTGGAAAAAAAAAGTCAAAAATGATACAGAAAAAAAAACATACTTAACTTGTAATTAAATTTGTATGCATAAATTCTAAGAAATGCATAATATATATATTTTTTTTAAAAAAAGTGAGTAATATTAAAGTTATACAAGTTTACCTGCTTGCTTTGAAAACATAGACATTATATTGTTTTTTCCAACAGTTTTTGAAGAACTCTATAACAGATTAGAAAATAATTAAAGAAAATCATTTGAAAATGAATTATAATAAATTAATGATCAACATAAATCATAACTAATGATAATAAACTAATGATCAGTAACTGTACCTGCATCTTATTCTTGCCTTTTGAATCTAACTTAGAATTTTCACTCTTCCCATTTTTAGTTTTATCTTCCAATTTTTGCCACAATGATGATAAGGTACTCTTTTTAGGATCTTTAGACTAATAAAGATTTAAATACAAGCTTTAATTATTATTAAATATTATTTTTCTTTATATAAAATAATATTCCTAAAGGAAATGTTCAAAAAAATAAGCAGTTTCTAGAGAACTATCTTTTCTTACAAAACATGTTAGTGAAAATTTTCAACAAATAAATTTACAATTTTAAATTAGATAAAAAATATTTAATTTGCGAAAAATGAAAACTTTTAGTGTTAATAAATTAGAAGCAGATTGAATAATTTTCCAAAACTAAATTTAATAGCTTTTTATTATTGCTTATTTTAATTGACACTTGCTTCTCTTTGTTTTCGTATTTGTTCTTTTTGCTTAGTTTTTTAACAAAAGAAAATTTTTCTTAACAAAACAGGAAAAAAATCCTACGTGCGCAATTTTTTAAAATTATATTTTTCCCAAAGTTTAAACAACTAAAATAGCTAAATAATAAAATACAGTTATTATATTCTTAAATTAGATTAATATTAAAACTTTTTTTTTATTCAAACAAAAACTATAACTATTTTTAATCATTACATTAAAATTGTCAATTCACATGATTTTTTGTTTAGTGCATATAACATAACTGATATTGGTTACTACTTTGATCCAGTTTGTGAGAGTGATTACTGGATAATGACAAATATGCACCTTACTTGGCAATCTTATAGCAGAAGACAAGTATTATTAAATATTTAAACAATATACATTACAAAAGACTATATGTCAATGAGATCATTACATATTTAATAAAAGAAAATGACTTAAATCCAAGTTAATTGGAAACAATCATTACCTCAGGATTTGATTTTGCACTATTTGAAGACTTCGATTCAATAGCCATATTTTCAGAAGCATTAGCAACCTCACTAGATGAATTTTCCCTATTTGAAGAGACTGAGTTACTTTTTACTTCATTTTTGTTACTTTGAAATATTGATGGTACACTTTCCATTTTCGTTTTCACCTAAATTATCAACAATGATTTTTACAAAAACATATTATGGTAAATTTTAACAGTACAATATTATTCAGATTAGTCAAATTAAATAAAAAGGAATCTCTCACCGGTTGGAGCTTTGACGAAACAACTTTGGCATCATTTTTCTTAACTTCTGTTTTTGTTAGAGCAGGCGCCTGAATTTTTATATTAGTATGTTTTATTGCAGAGTATCTAAACAATATATAAAAGAAAATTTTCATTTCTAGAAGAAGAAAAAAAAAGGTAAGAATTCATACTAGAAAAAATAATTAATGAGTAAAAGATTAAACAAGTATAAAAAATTTGGAAAAATCAGTTAATACTTTGCCGCATAATAGGTCTTGTAAGTAAGAAAATTTTTAAATATGCTGATACAAAAAATTTTATAAATATTGACTATACCTACCATTAACTAAAATTTTTGGTTCTACTAATTGATTGAGTCCGTAACCAAATAGCAACTTTTGACAAGAAATGAAAATGCTTCCTCAGTTTTCCATGGCAATATGAATATAAATATACTATTAGATTAATTAAGGAAAATTTTTAAAGCTTAATTTGCCATTAGAAATCACAATTCAGTAAGTGAAACTATTTTAATTCAAATTTGAAAGTAATACATTTAAAGTTGCTTCTTTTCATTGATTTCCTACTATTTCAAGTAAAAATAAATGAAAGACTCGGCTGTTAATCAGTTCAGACAAGAAACTGAACGAAGTAAGTACATATTTTTACTTAAAGGAAAGATCCAAACCTTTAAACCTGATCCTTCACTTTCTAATGAAACCTATACACTATCGTCAATATAATAAAAGTAATCAAAGTAATAAAAAATAATCTGCCCTTAACCTTTTGCTTATGGCTGGAACAACATGGAAAAAAGAACTAGTTTGATTATGTAATACCTGAGAATGAGTTGTTTCGTAAAACAGATAATAAATAAGGTATAACCTTTAACCTTCCGATTTAATCACTCCATCTTATAGTAAATTTTTATGGGTGCTCAAATCATTCGAATTCAAATATCCATCAGTAGAGAGTCTGATAGCTAAAGAAATTTTGATACAATGTAAATGTTTGCATTTTCGGGAAAGTGATTGCAAAAAAGCATTGATTCCACTAAGAAATGTGTTTACAAAGCAACAGACATTCTCTATACATATTTATCAGTAAAAATAAAAGAATTGCTTTAAAATTTTTAATGAGGAGTACGATGGTAGATTCACCTCCTACCCCGGAAACGTCTCGACGGCTAAGAGATCTACCAACTTCGGCACGCAACACATCTCGCAGCGAGTCTACTCATTCAGACTTGCAGTGGGCGACGATTGCCTGGTGAACCACTTCTGCCGCATCGGCATTCTCGCTGATCTAATTGCCCATTGTGCTCGAATAGTGAACTGATGGTCAGGAACCATCTATTGAGATGCTAAGCTCTGCGTGGGGACTCTGAGGCGAGGCGCTACTAGAGTGCCCGACATCTGTTAATGAGATAGTGACTTTTTTCTCTTACTTGTTGTTCACTGTTTTCTGTAAGAGTTTGTCATTTTCTTTTGCCATTAGAAATTTTAAAAAAACTTTTAAATTAAATCACATTTTGTTCGCTAAACAATTTGAAAATTGAAATAGAAAAATTGAATACAATAGGGTAAATTAATATGATATATAGTAGATGTGCACAACATTTTTATGAGAAGGGCCACTTGCACAGCTGGTAGATCAATGAAGGGAAGTATGCCTCATTATTTAGACATACTGACTACATTTAGACAATATGAAACATATGAAAAAAATGGGAGGAAAGGATAATTTGAGAGCCTAGCTTTTAGGAAGTGTTTTTCATGATATTAATAAAATGAAATTTTGTTTTTAAAAAAAATCCTTACTCTCGATGCTCTTCAGCCCATTTCTTACACCAACTCTGAGAATTAAAAATTGAAGAATCATCCTGTAAGAATAAAGGTGTCATTATTTATAACTTTTATTTTATAGCAAGTAAAAATCATTTTTGATATAGATACTTAAATATAAATCAAAACTTAAATTAAACCATTAAATCTTAATAAATATTATTAGCAATATGCAAATGTTACATTAGCTTATTGTTATAATATAACATCAGATTATTGTTATATAAAATGTTAATAAGCAATATGCAAATATTATTAGCAATACAAGAATGACAATTTTCAGAAATTAGCACCAAAAAAAAAGAGGCAAGTTTCAGCAGTTTAGCTTTGAGCGATGAAAAATGAATATAAATTTATTCAATCTATAATTTATAAAAGCCAAAATTCCTCCTACAATATCTCAAAAGTCATTGCGAAATTAAGTAATTGATAAATAAAGTTAAACCATATAAAGGCACTGAAAACTATCTTGAATAACTGTCACACACATTTAAAAATTTTTTTAATTTAACTTAATATTAACCCCCATACAACTATAATAATGTATTCACCTATATCAATGTTTCCCAAAGTGTGGTACGCGTACCCTCAGGGGTACGAGAACAGTTTAGCGGGGGTACGCGTTCTTATGCGAAATATCTTGCACCAAACGAAAAAAAATTCTTTAAAAACAAAGCTAGTCATGAAAATTTACAATTGCTTATTTTTCTATTGGCTATTTTTTGCAGAGTCAACAGTTAATAATTAGTGGTGTCAACAGCCAGTTGTGATTTTTAACTTTTGGGCATTTTTTTATAATAAAAAATACATTCATTTTTTTATTGGTGGTACACAGCGTTGCAAAAAATTTAGAAAGGGTACACAAAAGTCATAAGTTTGGGAAACACTGACCTATATTATATTATAAAGTAGAAATAATCCATACTGAATAAACTTCGACTTAACTCCAATATTTAGTTAATAGTTTTTAGGTGAAAAAGTGAAATATGTAGTTTATATCTAAACATAATATGTATAGATATAAACTACAAATAATTCTGTTCAAATATTGATTGAAATGTTATATGCATACCAATACCACCATCAATATTGGTTAAAAGTTATACAATGCATGCTTAATTGTAACGACATTTTTAATCTCCAACCATTATACTATAATAAAATTAACAATTTATTCACAATAGAACACAATTTCTTATTACAAATATATGGAGGAATACAAATATAATGAATACGCTCTCTCACTTAGGAAATGAATTTACTCAACCGAGTTTTTACAGTGAAAAACTCAAATAAGTAACTACAATCATCTTAAAACATTATTGATCCACTACTGGATGAAGGCTTTTTCTAAAACATTTGATCTGTTGCTGCTTTTACCTTTCCATTTACACCTGCTGATTTTCTAATTTAATCAGACCTTCTAGTTAATGATCAGTTACTTGGTCTTATGATGCCTTAAGAATAACAGTCCAAGATCTCGAAAGTATAGTAATTGTCTGTTTTCTGAGTTATTTGGCCAGATCACTGACATTTTAAAATCATTTTAATTCCTGATTAATATTGGAAACTTTTGCTTGTTGCTTGTCCACATTTCTTGCTTTTGGTCTTTTCTAATAAAACCAGGTTAAAACCTTTCATGATTTCCTTCCATGTAAGTATATCAAACATTGATTATTCCGTCTCTAAATTTATTATTTAACTGTAAATACTTCAAAATTTTATTTTACTTCTGTGTTCCCTTTGATTTTTAAATTAAATAGGTTTTAACAGGATAATTTTTTTTTTTATCCTTGAAACAATAATTTCATTCTTAAAAAAAATGTAAGTACTCTAGACATAAAACTTTTTTCTTATTAAAGATCTTTTTAAACTAAATGTAACTTAGTAACTAGAAACAGCTGTATTCTAAAGATTTGAAAGAAATACTTACTCTACTTCCTCCTTTATTAACAGAATAAATGTGAATGCAATCTACTTCATCAAATTCTTTTTTAATTTGTTCAAGTTTTTCTTCAGATACAATAATTATTTTTTTACACTAAAATAAAAAAATTCCTTTTGTTATAAAAAAAGAAGTAGTTCTTAAAAGGAAAACACAGCTTCAATATCATTCAATATTAAATTCATAATACTATATTTATAACATACATAACACTACATTTAATATGATAAAACTGCATTTCATACTAATTTCATCAATTATCAGTGGAGGGATGTTTGGGATATTCAAAATAATAATGAAATGAAAGGTCAAGTGCTTAACAAATCGTCTATTAATGTGAGAATTTAAATAAATTGTTGAATGTTAAAACCCACTTTTATCATTGAGTCTATTATTTTTTATGCATGTTTCAAGGAGGAGGAGGGAAAAAAAAGATTATGCATTAATTATATAAACTAAGTAACCATTCTCAAAATTGAGTGACCAATTTAGATAAATCATTAAACAAGCTTCTAAATTAAAAAAAAAATTTCTTATGTGAAATTTGTCTGTTTTTGTTATGGTGTTTCAGTGTTTTCATCATAGAAAAAAAATGGGTGAGAATTTCTCACCCTTTCTCAAAAACAGGGTGAGATTTCAGAAAGTTAAGTGAGATTTCTAAAAACTAAAAAAACACAAATAGACTTGAAAAAAAAATCAACTCTTTTATTATACTAAATTTTTAACGTCTTCTATTTTTTTAAGCATTGAATATTTTTGGTGCATCATCATAGAAGATTTTGCCTTTACTATGTATTTGTCCATCTTACATTAGTGCAAAAAAAAATTTTGAACGTCTTACATGAAAAAAACCTTACCTACGGTAAACACGTGGTTGCAGAGAAATGTGTTCTGAAAGGGGTTCCGTGGTTCGGTTGTGTTCTGTTGTTCGAAAAGGTTCTGAACAATACTGGTAAATAGGGAAGCTAGATAACGGAGCAAATGTTGAAAATAATGAAAGATCCAGGAAGAAAAGTGAAACGGATTTTATTCTAAGTAGCGTAATTCGAAGCTTCTTCCAAAATGCGAGAAATTCGCGAATTTTGAAATTGATTTAGAGAATGCGCGAATTTCTCGCAGTAATCATTTTTTAATGCGAGAAAAGAAAAAAATATGCGAGATTCTCGCGTTCTCGCGCTGCAGTGAAAACACTGTGTTTAGAAGTTATTCTTCTCCAATTAAAAATTAATAACAATAAATATCAGTTCCCTTTTCCATCAATTCTTAAAAACCAGATTTTTTTTTTAAATTTTAACAAATTAGATTTTTGTGTAAATTAATTTCTTAAATACAATTTTACAACATTAAAAACACTTCTATCATAGAAAATCTAGATGAGCATCAATAGGAAAATCTTATAAACTTCATTCTTTTTACTTTAAAGATGGGAACAAACAAAAATACAAGTAAACAAACCAAAATAAAAATAGTTAACAAAGAAAAACAAAAAGATATTTTTTAAAGTTTAAATTTAGGATGTGGAATTGTAATTAGAACTTAAAAGTATTTAAAAAATAAATATATATCTTACACGAAATCCATCCTTTACAATAAATCCAGAGAGGAAATAATGAGCAAATAATTTCATTTCTCCTTTTGAGCTCTGTGCTGTGAAAAATTCAGACAAGAATCTAAAAATAAATCAGATTAAACTAAAACTAAACCAGTTGATAAACTGCTTCTTAAGGAAAGAGACAGAGATGTTTTTTTTTTTTTTTTTTTTTTATATTNTTTTTTTTTTTTTAAATATCACAGTAATATCAAGTAACCACAGTAATAAAAAATATAACTTTTATGATTAATAGTGATTAAAAACTTTGATGTTAAAAAATCCAGAAGCAAACTCCCAACATTATCTATTCAATAGAACTTAATCAAATGGTTTTATTAACGAAATCTGATTTAAAAAAAGAAAAAGAAAAGGAGGGAATAAAGGAAAATTAATAGTTGAGATCTGTGAAGCCTATATTCACCTTAATTTCATTTTAGAATATGATTTGAAAAAATTATATTTTATGAAAAAACTGAGAAAATTTCACCCTTTAATGATAAAATATCACAATAAGTATTATAAATATCTTGAAACAATGAAGCATTTTAACAGATCTCTAAATTTGAAAGATAAAAAAATTAAGTGCATATGCATTTTTCTAATATTTTTTTTTTCCTATTTCTTTTGTATTATTCAAAGTTTAATCAGTTAATGCTCAGGAAAATTTGTAGAAATTTTCGTATCAAGTTACAAAGTAAGCTATTCTTATAATCTAAGTAACTAAATTTAATTAAGAAACATAATAATTTGTATCCAGCAATTTAAGAGCATTGTTAATAAATACCTATCTCATGTACACTTTTTTTTATGTTACACATATGAAATTCATTTCAAGGATATTAATTTGTTAAATAGCTTACTTTTTCGCTTCATTTACATGTATCTTTAATTCTTTACTTAGCATTTTATAGGTAACCTGAAATTGAAAAGAAAATTTTAGTTAAAAAATAAAACATGTAAATTGATTTAAAATAATAACAATGTAATTTTAATTTTTCAAAAAAGTAAGGAATCTCTCAAGCTTTAAAATTTATACACATAATACAGTAACTAAATACAATATTAAGTTTTGTGATATTATCAGTTTAATAAAATAAAAAAATCAATAATCACACACACAATTTTTTTTAAAAATTTATTATAATAATTAAGATTGATTTTTGATTATATCTATAAATAAAAATTTCTTTATTCAAGGCATTTTCTTAAATTGAAATGTAAAGCATTATTAATGATATTTATATGTATATGTTTTAAATTACCATTAACAATAGCAATAGCACCTGAAAATTTCACTTATTACTCCTATGTAATGTTTCACATTTTAACTGAAGTATGCTATTTATTGAAATGTAGTTTGCAAAATTAAAATAAAGTTTTGAACAAAAACAATTACGTAATAAAACAAGTAATTTTGAACACCCTGTGCCAGCAAATCAAGCAATAAGTTTTTACTTCTATCAATTACTTTAGCTGTTATTTTTAATACCTGCACAAAATTCCATAAACCTAAAGTAAATATTTATAAAAATATGGGAATTTTTATAAAAAAAAAAATTTTTTTTTTGCTAAAACTTTTTAAATATTCAATGAAATCTAACAATAATTGTGGAGCAATTCAAAATTACAAAATTTTAAATCGCATTAGATTTTTTGAAAACTTAATAATTTTTTAGTAAAAAAAAACATTAAAAATTGCATAACATAAGCATTTAAAGTAGTTCTTTTATACTGCGCATGAGTGGAAAAATTTTTTTCTTCTGAATTCTGTAGTGAATCATATTTGGCAACTAATAAAAAAAGTTTGATTTGAATATCTTCAAAATCTATAAAGTTTCACACAATTTTTCAAGCAGTTTTTGTACTTTTTGAAGAAAAACTAAAAATGATCAGGGATTTTCCACAAATTTCATTGTGTATTATTAAACATGATTTATTAAAAATGAGACTTCCATGAATGCATGTTGTCTTTCCTTATACCATCACATTTAGGTTTCCTGACGATTATTGTGAGGTATTATCATTTGTTATCGAATTTTGTTACATGAAACAAAATAAAATTTGTGGATAACTCCTTATTATTTTTAGCTTTCGCTTCATAAGTACAAAAACTATGCAGAAAATCGCTTGAAACTTTTTAAATTTTTAAGATATTCAAATTAAACTTTTTCCATTAGTTGCCAAATATGATTCACTACAAAATTAAGAAAAAAACTTTTTTTAAATTTTTTCTATGCATGCACAGTATTAAAGAACTACTTTAATTGCTTATATCTCGCTAAAAATACTTTAAATACGTATAGCTTTTAATTTTCAACAAATTATTTTAAAATTGTAAATAAATAATTTTGTAATTAATCTTAAATTACTCCAAAAAATATTGTTTGATTCTATTGTATTTTTAAAGTTACAGTAAAAAAATTAGCTTTTTATAACAATATGTCCATACCTCCATAAATATTTACTCTAGGTTTATGAAATTTTATGATGTTATTTCAATTAATAACTTAAAAGTAATCGATTCAAGTTACAAGCTTTTGCTTTTNAAATTACTCCAAAAAATATTGTTTGATTCTATTGTATTTTTAAAGTTACAGTAAAAAAATTAGCTTTTTATAACAATATGTCCATACCTCCATAAATATTTACTCAAGGTTTATGAAATTTTATGATGTTATTTCAATTAATAACTTAAAAGTAATCGATTCAAGTTACAAGCTTTTGCTTTTTTGTGTTCAAAAATACTTGTTTTTTTTCGTAATTCTAAGTGGGTCTTCCAAACATCTGAACTCTCTAAATCTTAATGATAAGTATGAAAAATGGCATAAACTAAACATCTCTCAAGCAATAAAATAAACCTTTACTTATTTGGGAAATTTGAAAACATGTCAAAAACTGAGTTAAGTGTCTCCTCCATTATTGTGGGGTAGTATATACGTATATTAGTAACAACACAACAAATGTAACAAAATGAGCCTTTTTATTCAGTTTAGAGCTAAATATAGACCAAACCTGCTTTCATTTTACAGGTTTTATTTTTTTATTTCTATAAAATAATAGTGATAGTATTGCTTAAATATTTTGAGTTAATTCTGGAAAATCAATGAATCCTGTCAAATAAAACTATTCCATGATGCAATAAAAATTAATATAGGAAAAATATATACTAATTCATTTTCATCCAATATTAGTTGCTCTAATTTATCAAAGCATTCTTCGGGAGGCATTTTTTTCTCAGTCTGCTAACACAATATATATAATACAGGAAAAAAATCTGTCATGTACATAATCCGCGCGCGAATCTAACTTAATTTTTAAAAACAAAGATTCTCGTCCCTTCAGTTCATCCCAAAATAATTTTGTGATAGACGTCACTTAGCAGCCGAGTCACATAATTAGATGGATAAATTTAATTGGCTAATTTTGTCATCGCTATCGCTGTATCGTTGTTCATGTTTCCAAGATTTGGCTACTTCAGCTCTTTGCAGCGTCTTTGAATTATTTTTGGAATTCTTGTAATGTTTTACGAGCGCCTGCGCATTTCCGACGTAAGTAGAGTAAAAAGTTCGAGATTTACAGTCTCCGAAAAAGACCAGTTTCATCATATCATCTATCAAAAGGTACCTTTAGTAACCTGAGGTACTTTTTAGAGATATAGTTATTATCAATATATTATCATCTATAGAGTTAACATGTCTAATATATTAGTGGTTTAGTATTTAATATTTGTATGTGGTAGTTATGCCACATTTCTCCCCTTCCAGAATTTTATATGTGATAGAAATTCGATGAATAGATACTACTAGTTGATTAGTGCTGCTTTTTTTTTTTTTTTCCCTTTTATTTACATCGTTTTGCTCATTATGTTTTTTTCTTCATTTTTTGTTTAGAGTATTTCACTTATTTTTTTCGTCATCTTGTTTATAGCATTTCGCTCACCATTTTTTTTTCTTCAATATTTCTTATTGACCAGGAGACTCTACTTACTTTATTGTATTTTATTTTTCTCTGAGCAGTATATTTTAAAGTAAATCAACTGTTTGAATGCGGATCATCCTTCAGTTCTGGAAAGTTCATATTACGTTCGGGTCATAATTGAAGGGAATGTAATTTGAATCGACCAGGGCTCGAAGAAAGTCAAAAAATTTACCCGTCCCCGAGGACGGCTTGTCCAACAATGTACCCGTCCTCCTTTGAAACTAACCCGTAGCTTCTAAATAAATAAAAATGACAAATGGCAAAGGTCAAGTTATCTGGAATGTCAATTTATCCGAGGGTACTTCGTTTTTTAAATGAAACAAATATTACGTTATCCAGTTCCACAATCCAGTCAATGATTTACAGAGGTTTCTGCACAGAAATATGAAAGGGGTTTTCCATTTAAGTGGATGTTCATAATTACGCTTAACGCTTTTTGTTTAAGACTAGTACGTAATGTGTTTTTTTGTAAGCTCATTGCTGAAAAGCCTCTTTCAACCACTGCAGTACTCCCAGACAGAGAAAACATCAATTCCAAAGAGCGCAGTATGTTGCTGTATTTCTAGATAAGAGGGTCATTTCAGAAGTGAGGCGCTAGACTCTTGTAAGATAACAGAAATATATATTGATTAAAAATAAGAATTTGAAAGTTTTTCTTTAGATTGACTGGTAACAATAGCTTACTGCCAAGCAATAGGAAGTCATCTAGCAATGTTTTGGATTACCTGGTCAAATAGACTTCCCTGGAAAAATTTTTGAATTTGTTATTATCTCTGCAACACCTTGTTTC